GGAATTTGCGAAATAGGCACCCACGAGCTTATTGGAACCCCGCCAAAAATTTCAAAATACTATATTTTGCGTGGAACCCGATTTTAACTTTATTTGGCAGCTTTGGTGCTCAGAAAATTATAGAATACTTTGTTTTATCAATTTCCTTGCCTCGAAAATGATGGGCAAGAGGTTTCAATCGCAAAATCGGGCAGCAATCGGTAAACTGGCCCAAATCAGAATGTTCGCCCCTGCTTTTGGACAAAAGTTTTCGACGTATGCGTCCCGAGGCGTTTTCCGAAAGTTGGCGCCCCGCCAAACTTAAAAAAATTTTTTAAGTGGAGTCGAATTTTTTTAGGGTCCAAATCGTGTTCCGACGCGATTCTGAAAATTCTTGGCACCTTGCCAAATCGCTAAAAAATCGAGGTTTTAGGTGTTTTATGAGTTTTTTTTTTGCATTTTTCGGTTGAGTTTTTCTTACTGGCAGCCAGCCAACCAAATCGTGCAGAAAAATAATTTTACAAAGGCGTTTCGCATCTCGGTTCGCTTGCGAAAATTCTTGGCACTATTCCAACTCCCTGAAAATCGAGTTTTTCGAGATTTTTGTACATTTTTCGGGTGAACCCCCGCTTCTGGCGCCGGTTGGACAGAACGATCGGTTTTTGTGGCGCGCCCCCTGGCCGTATGCCTGCGTGTGTGTTCCATCGAGGAAGAAGGGAGGGGAAGAAGACTAGAGGAAGGGGGCAGGTGGTGACCTTTGCCGTCCATTCTCTCTCTCTCTCTCTCTCTCTCTCTCTCTCTCTCTTCTGTCCGTCTGTCGGTCAGTTCGTCTGTCTGTCTGTCTCTCGCCCTCCTCTCTCTCTGTTTTGTGGCCGGGGGGCAATCAATGATCTTGCAAGAGGGGGAGAGGGAGCACGAGAACACCGGAGAGGACAGAGACATGGAGACACACACCGATAGACTGACTGGCAGACAGGAGGGAGAAAGAGAGCGAGAGAGAGGCTCTCTCTCCCCTCCCCGGTCCACACGCACACACGCATCCCCCACCACAAGCCCCCCGCGCTATGACCCCTCTCTGCCCCTCCCCCTTCCGCACACTATCAGATATATTTAAAAATTATAGTTGTTTTATTGCATACTGACAACCGTAGCATCTGCTGATGCTTTTGATTTTTTGAAAAATTTGAATTTTGAGGATTGAGCCCGATGGAATCGGAAATTTTGAGCCTGCAAGCAATAAATTTAAATTTTTCGCTGTTTTATATGAATTTTTGAGCGTTTATCTGAGTGGCACTCGTTAAACTGGCGCCCAAAAGCTCCATATCCATTGAAAGCTCAACCAAAACCCGGATATTTCGCAAAAAATCCCTGCTAGCCTGCCCATCCTCCGTGGAACGCTGAAGAAGTCATAATGTCGATTCCGCCATCATTTTCTTATATTGCTGGTCTCTAGAATTTTTCTAGGATTTTTCTAAGACATTTTCGATTCCGCAAAGACTCTCTGCTGGCTTACCGACCGTAAAAACCGTCAAATTCGGGCAAATGGCAAGGCTGTAATGATTCCCTAAGGATCTCGGCTAGCTTTCCCGGCCAAAAAGAGAAAAATATCTTAAATTTCTGTACCACCTGCCAGTTTACCCATTCCGGATTCCTAAAAGGTCTCTGCTAGCTTGCCCTGCACTAAAAATTCGGCCCCATTTTTATTCGATTACGCCATAGAATTCCAGGAGTTTCGGCTGATTTTCGGATTTTTACTGAACGAGCGGCGCCCCAAATTTGGCTGCCAATTTTTGGCGGCGATTCGGAGGTCTGGGGGGGCTATTTGTAGTCTGTAGCCTGGGGGAGAGGGCCGGGAAGGGGATCTGGGAGGGAGGATGGACAGCCCCTCTCTTTCTCTCTCTACTTTTGGATACCCCAGTAGTAGTCAGCATTCAACCATTTGCACACCCGGAAATTTACCTTTAAAATTCAGTTTGTAATTGATTTTTGAGCCTCTAACACTTAATTTTTATTGCGGGCAATTTCCGCAAATGACCTCTGCTCGTTTGCGGAGCCATTGGACTCTCTAGATCCAAAATCCTCAAAGACTTCTGCTAGCTGCCTGGCAACGCACACGCTGGCCGCCTTGATTTTTATCCAAATCGATTCCCCAAGGACTTCTGCCGGTTTGCCCGCAGCGCCGCTTTTTTGGCTCTCCGCCAATTTGCGGATTTGATGGTTTTGAGCCCTATTTCCGCAATCGCCTCTGCTAGCCTGCCCCATTGGCTTTCGCTTACCCGGCAGTTAATTTAACATTTCCGCAAATGGCCTCTGCTAGCCTGCCAGGATTTTCCCAATCTTCGATTTCGCGCGTTTTTCGAGCCGTAGAACCTCTAAAATGGGCCTGCTAGCTTGCCCATTGTGTTTTTGATCTAACTGCCAATCAGTTTACCGATTCCCGAAATGATCACTGCTCTTTTGCCATTTTTTGGTGAATCGGGTTTCGGTTCCTTGAGGCCAAAAATGCCAAAAACCTTAAAATTTTACACCAAAAAACTTTTCCAGCCTCTTAAAAACCTGGAATCGCTTATATGTCTGCCAGTTTACTTTGCACTACGTTTAAAAACTATTTTGAATTTATTTTCTATCAAAATTCATCCAAAAAATTACCACACCCCCAAAAAACAAAATCGATATTTTGCAGATGTGCGCCAGTTGTTCGACGAGTAGACCGAATTGAAAGAAGCAGAACACGAACAAGAAGAACAACAACTACAACAACCGCACATCCCACTGTAGAACAACAACAACACCAACGAGTACGCCAAACAACTATGGACGGAGACGATGACTATATGCCCCAGGTAGATTTCGGCTTTTTTGACCTTTTTGGCCCTGTAGAACGGCCGTGCTACAATTTTAGGTTAAAAAAACAATTTTAGCTGATAGAGAAGCTCAAGCGCTACAATATAATATAAAAAACGTAAAAATAGACAATTTCTACAATTTTATATGATTTTTTTGAAAATTTGCAATTTTCGCCGAAACCGCGTGTTTTAGATTAGCCATAACTTTGTTAAATGCGATGGATTTTAACGATTTAAAGTTGTAAAAATATCTAATTTTTAAGGGCTTTTTAATGGTATGCTTAGCTTATTTTTTAGTTTCGACACAAAAGAGATACGGGTGTTATAAGGAATTTTTGCGACAAAAATGGATTTTTCGGCTAAAAACTTTTTAAAATCGATTTTTGTAATTGAAACTAATTCTATTTAAGAAGAGGAGTTTATGAGTTACAAATTGATGTATAAAACGTAAACATTTAATGTTCCCACGATTTTATAGGATTTTTTCAAGGATCATAAATTAAATTTTTTGACCTGACCCTGTTGCAGATGTCGCAGCTGGGCGGCGACTACGGGAATCCGTATGGCCATCATCCGGGCGGATATGGACCTCCTCCACCTGGATACGGTGGCCAAGAGCATCAAATGATGCATCAACAAATGGGACAACTACAGCCAATGCCACATCCTATGCAACAGCAACCCCCACAGGTACGTAGTCGGGAAAAATTGGCATTACCGATGTGTCGGTATTTTTAAGATACTTGCTGGCTGTCAGTTAAGCGTTTCCGCCGAAAAAAATAGCCATTTTTGTAACAATTCGGATTTTGCGGAAAATCGTTAATTTTCAAAACTCCGACATTTTCGAAAATTCGGCATTTTTGACGTGTCGGCATATTTAAGATACTGTATAGCTGACAATTAGCCGTTTCCAGGCAAAAAATTAAAATTTTTCATCGAAATCGTAGATTTTTACGCCATCGAAAATCGAAAAACGTGGTTTGCGAGTTTTCGGTATCTTGTGGAAATTTCGGCATTTTCGAGTTGTCGATGTTTTTCGTATACAGTATGCTTGACATTTAGCGGTTTTCGAGTAAAAAAATACTATTTTTCATCGAATTTGAATTTTTTAGGCTTTCGAAAATCGAAAACCTGTATTTTCAAATTTTCGATATTTTTCGAAAATTCCATGTTTTCGGGATGTCGGTATTTTTAGAATACTGCCTGCTTGGCAGTTAGTGGTTTCCAATAAAAAAACACCAAAATTTTCCAGGCTCCGCCCCCAAAACAGACGAAACGCGGCAAGAAAAAGGAGACAGCAGCCGCCGTAGCTGCTCAACAACAGCAACAAGTACAGCAAGTACAGCAGGCAAACCCTGGGGATCCGATGGGTGCAATGGCAGCGATGAGCCACAATCCGATGGGCGGAGGGGGACCTGGAGGAGGAGGAGGGAGAGGAGGAGCTGTTGCTCAACAACTCCAACAAGCCGGACCCTCACAATGGCCACAACAACAACAACAGCAAGCAGTTCAGCAACAACAGCAAGGAGGATGGCCATCTACCCATCCAGGATACGGGGCACAACAAATGACATCACAATATGGACAGCCAAGGGGATATCCACAACAACAATATCAACCATATCAGGTGGGTAGCTGGCAGAGATTATTGAGGAATCGGCGAACTGGCTGGCAGAGAGCATTGGGGAATATTTTTGGGTAGCCAGCTAGCAGAAAGAATTTAGGAAAAGGGACAACTAGCGGAGAAACTTGGGGAATTCGCGGGTGGCAGAGATTTTCGAGAGTATTTGGAGGTAGCCGGCAGCAATCCTTGAGGAATTGAAGGCTGGCTAGCAGAAAGAATTGAGGAATAGATAAGCTGGCTAGCAGGGAGCATTTGCGGAAAAGGGCAAGCTAGAAGAAGAATTCGGGAAATTTGGAAAAGTTTTGATCAGGGCAGGCCAGCAGTAACCATTTAGGAGCGGAATTTCCTCGAAAAACCCCCCATTTTTCAGGCTCCACCCCAACAACGTCCTCCCGCGGGCTACGGTATGCCCCCAGCCAACCCGTACGCAAATCCGTACGGAGGATACGGAGGGCCACAACCGGGAGTTGGATACGGTGGAATGGGACCCCCAAGGGGATATCCACCACCACAACATCTACAACAACAATATCAACAACAATATAGTGGAGATGGACATGGAGGCGGAGCAGTACAGTATCCAATACAGTATCCACAACAACAACAACCAGGGAATGTGGTCGGAGGACAGCAACAGGTCAGTGGAGATGGGCATTAATGTGTAAACTTGCTGACTGACAGCCAGAGAATAGGATAATTGAGTTCCGCAAAGTGTATTTGCTCGATCGCCTGATTTTTGGACCATTTCGAGCGGAAATTCCTGATTTTTGGATTTGTCTATCTGTCGCTCTCTCTCTGTCTCTCTCGCTCTCGCTCTGGCTCTCTCTTTCTCACGCTTTCTTTCTCTCTCTATCTCTCTCGATTTAACTTCCATTTCAAATTCGACCAAATTTGGAAAAGACCTGAAAAATCGAAAAATCCAAAAAAACTTAATTCTTCTAAGTTCTTTTAAAAATTCCCTACTTGTCATTTTTTACTTATCTGTCATCTACTATATATAAATTTCTAATGTGCGTCCGTTCGCGCGACCGGGAATTCAGCCAAATCCGGCATTCAAATTCCAAATTCAAATTTTTTTTCGGGGGGGCGGGGGGCAGGGCCAGCGCTGAACCGCCGCGTAGCGGGGGGTCAGCGCTGGTCCAGTCTACGTTTTGCGACAAATCCTAGCCTTCGCGGCTCCGTTAAACCCGAGTTCCAGCTTTTGAAAAACCCAAAAATCCCAGAAATCCACACGGACTTAATCCTTCCAAGTTCCTTTAAAGTTTCCTAATTTTTCGATTTTTGGACAATTTGCAACCAGTTTACCGATACACATGAAAATCTAGACAGCTCGAACCCTTTAAACTCAATTTTCAGCCCCAAATGCCGTCAAGCCAACCGCCGACCTCCAGCGATCCTCAACAACATTTTGTCGGACATGGACATCCGAATCCATACGCTCCAATGGCACCTCCACATCCACATCCCGCATATAGTGCACAGGTAAGCGAGAGAGAGAGAGAGAGAGAGAGAGAGAGGGTGAGAGTGAGAGAGTGGATAGGAGGAAAAATGGAAAATTGACCAAAACCTGCTCTTCCAGATGATGCAACAGGCTCAAATGGAGATGGGCCAACTCCAGCAACGTCTTCATACCCTCTATCAACAGCCACGGACACCAATGATTGAACAAGAAATACATTCCTACGAAAAGAGGGCACAATATCTGCAGGTAGCGGAGGAAACAGAATTACCTTGCGTAACCGGATAAGTAGATATCGAACAGGCTAGCAAGGATCACTAGGGAAACTATAGCAGACACTAGCAGATATTGCGTAAACGGATGCCTCATCCGTTTCTGAACACCGACCATTCGGTTACGCCATGTAATTGAGCCTGGAGCGCTTTTTAAAGGGACGGCGACAGAAAGTTTTTGCCTGAATTTACCCCGATTTTACATATCGTAATCGAATGTATCGCCCTTTTTAAAAGGGGTCATTCGATTACGCTATGAAAATAGGTCACAGCCGCATTTTAAAGGGGTGGTGACAGCAGAATTTTTACCGGAATTACGTGTTGTAATCGAAGATTCCAAATGTTTTACACGCTTCACTTTTCAGAGCCAACTCCACGCAGCATCCGTCCCGCCCCAAACAGCCCCCAATCCCTATATGCAAGGGCCACCAGGGGGAGGAGGAGGAGGACCACAACAAGGAGGAGGAGCAGGTCCACCTGGAATGGGAGGACAACAACAACATGGAGGAGGACAGAGACCTGTGGAAGTATCGCAGAGTGGAAATGGACCTATACAGGTCGGTGGGGAAGGAGTAGATGCACTGAAAAGGGCAAGCTAGCAGAGACCATTTGGGGAATCGGTAGCGTGGATGGCAGATAGATGAAATTGAGAATGGGTAGGCTAGCAGAGACCAATTGGGAAGTTTTTGGGTTGATAACTGATAAAAAAAAGCCAAATTGTGGACAATCGGTCTAAAAATTCAAGCGAGGCAGGCTAGCAGAGACCACTTGAGGAATGGATAAAATGGCTGGCAGAATTATGAGTTTCAAAAAGACAGGCTAGCAGAGACACTTTGCGGAACTTATCGCTCATTTTCAGGTCAATATCAAGCCGGATGCGCCAGGACGGACGCTGATCTCTGTCTACCATCACAATTATCCGGAAGGTCAACCCCCACCGGGTGGAGCGTTCGGATCTCCAAAAGACTCTGTCCCTCCCGAACCTGTCCCCTCGACAAGAACAACACCACCACAAATACCACGACATATCAATGGACATTCATATCCACAACAACAGGTACGCTAGAACATTCCACAAATGCTCTTTGCTAGCCTAAAAACGGCTAGAAACACTAAACTGGCTGCCAGTTCACCTAAAAATCCTAAAGAAACTCAGCTAGCATGCCCTTTGAATTAACTGGCGTAATCGGTTGTGTAAAATCGGAATTCGGCCGTTTTTCGGATTTTTTTCGTGTTTTTACGAGCCTGAAACCGGTTAAAATTCCCAAACTGGCTGCCAGTAGACCGAGAAATCCCTAAGAAACCCTGCTAGCTTGCCTCTTGAATTAACCGGAGTAATCGATTGAGAGCTGAAAATCGCCATTTTTCGGATTTTTTGGCATAGTCGGCTAGCAGGGAGATTTGGGGAATCGCGCGGTCTTAAGACGGCAATCTAACGGAGATAATTTTCGAAAAAATTCAAAGAAAATTCAAAAAATAATGATTTTAATTAGCCAAAAATGTCAATTTTTGATTTTTTTAAATAAAGTAAAAATCCAAAATATTGCAATTTCAGGTGCCTCCCCACCACCATCCATCGCCATCTCAACCCCCGGCCCCATTGCCACATCAGAATGCCTATTCTGTGCCCCCATCTACCGTATCCCACCCCATTCCACCCCCTCCTTCCGCTTCTTCTTCTTCTTCTTCTCAACAAATGATGGCCCCTCCACCAAATATCGTCAAAACGGAACCCCCTCCACAACAACAACAAATTCCGGTCAGCCAGGTGAGTGTCAATACCCCTTTAAAATTAAGCTGGGGGTAACTAGCAAAGATCTTTTGGGAATCTATGGGTACCGCGACACGCGACGCGCACGCCCCGCTTGACCGTATTTAAGGGCGTAATCGATTACACAATGGAAAGCGGGGCTTCCGCGTCGCGTCTCCTTAAAATCATGGTGTCACTGCCCCTTTAAAGCCACGACGCTTGCCTCCGCGAACTGGTTTTAAGGGATTACGCAATGAAAAGACGATACGCAACGCCTACGCCCCGCGTTCCTGAAAATCACGGTGTTATTGCCCCTTGAAAATCACTAGGACCCGCGGCACGCGACGCCTGGCCACCTCAGCGCGCATGACCGATTACGCACTAAAAAGGGGACCCACTACAAGCCCCACTTGACGCTATTTTAAGGATGTAATCGATTACGCAATGCAAAGGCGTGGCTTGCGCGTTGCGTGTTGCGGGGCGTCAAAATTCTTTGCCGGCAACTAGCAGAGATTTTTGGGAATGCGGTGGCGAGCTAGCAGCGATGATTGTGGAATTTTAAAGGGAGCGTGACAGCTAGGAATTTTTCGAAGTTAACAGAAATTCTTCAGGAAAAAATCTAAGGGGAGCGTGACAGTTAGCGATTTTCTGGGATTCCTTAGGTGTTTTAAAGAGATCTGAACACCAATTTTTCACAAATTTCCTCTGCTAGCTCAAACTTTTTGAAATTATCGTACCCTCTATTTCCTTTTTTAGCCAATAAAAACGGAGCCCCAACACGACCCGGATGCGACACCCCCAATGAGAAATGGAATGGGTGAAGAGGAGGGAGAAGAGAGAGACCAGAGAGAAGAGAGAAAGGGAGGAGAACCAGCAGAAACAATTGGGGAACAACCGGCAGAAGAGGAGGAAGAGGAGGCTGAGGATCCATTTGACAAGCCCCCTCGTGCTCCCCATCCACAATCACCGCCAAGGGAAGAGGAGGAAGAGGAGCAGCAACTTCAACAGGTATGGCAGATCGGACTTTTGAGCAAAAAATTCGTAAAGGAACTTTGCTAGCCTTCCTGAAGGAAAATTTGTGTAAACTGGATGGCAGTTAGGGGATTGATGCCAAAAAAATCCTCAAATGATCAGTGCTAGCTTGCTAAGCCCGATTTCGTGAAATCTGGGTGGCAGCTCGGACTTTTGCGACGAAAGATTGGTGAATGGTCTCTGCTAGCCTGCTTTACCTAGAATTTATGAAGACTGTATAGCAGCGGGCGCTTTTCCACAAAGAATCCCTGCTAGCGTGCGCTCTAAAAAAAAATTTCTCGAATTTTAGAGCTCCCTTCCCGTGGAGCAGCCGAAACCTTCGCCCTCTTCAACAACTGCCGTCTGTCCAGAGGAACCGGAAGAAATCCGGGAAAATGGCAATCATACGGTACGTGTATTCCGCAAATTTTCACCGCTAGCCTGCCCTCTCTAAGCCCCAGAATTTCCTCGCGTAATCGAATGTTTTTGACTGTCCTCTGCCCTTTAAATCCAAGGCTGTTTCCGCAAATTTTCTCTGCTAGCTTGCCTCTGGCCATCCAGCTAGAAATAATCCAAATTTTTCAGGAAGAACCGGAAGCCATTCCACAAGAAATTCCCGGCAAGACGGAAGAGCCAAAAACCGAGCCAGAAGAGGAACCGGAAAAGGAACCAGAACGTCCGGAAGACGTTCAAGAAGCTGAAGACGTTCAAGCTGAAGCCACCGAAGAGGCAGCGGAACCGGAAAAAGAAACTGAGCAATTGGAAGAACCCGAAATGCCAGAACCGGATCTCCTGAAAGAACCGAGTCCGGAAGCTGAAGCCCAAGCCGAAATTCCTGAACCGGCAGCGGAAGTGAAAGAGGAGGAACACCTCCCTGAAGCTTCTGCAATTCCGGAACCGGAAGAACCGGAAAAACGAGCGGAAACGGCTGAGGTCAAGCAAGGGTAAGATTAAAATGGTTAAAAAGAAAATCAAAAAAAAAGGTTAATTTAAAAAATTTTTTTTTAAAAAAAAGGTTTTTTTTTAAGGGGTTTTTAAGGGGGGGTTTTACATTTTTTTTTTTTTTGTTTTATGGGGGGGTGGGGGGGGAAAAAAATAAAAGAAGCAAAAAAACCATTTTTTTTTTTTTTAGGAGCCGCAGGTCTTTGAAGAGCCGGAAAAGGAAGCCACTCCCGCTCCGGCGATTCCCGAAATTGAGGAAGAGCACCTGAAGGAGGAGCCGGAAGCCGAAGAAGGTTCTGAAGCCGTTCCGGAAGTTCCGGAAGCCGACCAGGCTGAGGTCGAGGAGAAGCCGCCTGCTGCTGAAAAGGCCGAGGCCATCGAGGAGGCCATTGAGGATGAGGAGGAGGTCCGTTTTTACTGTCACTGCGCCTTTAAAAGCATTTGCTGCGCAAGGAATCGCTGCTAGCCTGCCCTGCTACTCTTTAAAGGGGCTGGGAAGGCAAAATCACCCAAAGTTTTATGGAGTTTTCGAGCTGTCACCATCCCTTTAGAGGGTCAAATAATCTTTGCTAGGCTGCCAAATTTCCCCAATGGACTTCTGCTTGCCTTATCTCCATTTCTAGCTGTCCCACCCGCTTTAAAGTGAATTTACAGCGATTTTTAAAGGACCCTGGAAGACAAAAGTTTTCGACATCTTCTGGATTTTCAAGCTGTCACACCCCCTTTAAAACCTCCGATTTTCAGGCGACCTCCGAACCGACGGCCGCTGAAGAGGATGAAGTGGAAGATGAAGCGGAAGAAGCGGTAGATGATGAGGAAGAAGAGCCAGAAGAACAACTCCCAAAGCCCAAGACCAAAAACACTCCCAAAATCAAGCTGGGCAGCCAGAAAAAGGCCTCCACCTCCGCGGCGTCAACTTCAAGGAGTTCAGCGAAAAAGAAGAAGGAGCCGGTGTATGTGGACGATTGGGATGATGATGATGAACCATACGAGACAAGGTGAGTGGAATTTACAAAATTGAAAAATCAATTAAAATTTTTGAAAAATTTTGTATTTTTAATTTACAAATTTGGTTATCGATTTTTCTGCTTGTTTTTGCCAGACCATTTTTCTCTTTCGTTAATTTGGATGCCAGTTAGCCTAATTTCCCTCAAAAATCCCCGCTAGCCTGCCTGGAAATACCTGTCGTAATTGGTTATTCGAGGCTTCCAAAAAGATCCGATTAACAGATTTTTTTGTGGATTTTTTTGGAGATTTTTTTATCGTTAAATTGGATGCCAGTTTGCCCAAGTTTTTCTAAAAATCCCCGCCAGCACGGCCGGAAATACCTAGCGTAATCATTTAGCCCAAAAATTTCCAAAAAATCCCGATTTTTTTCGGATTTTTCCGAATTTGGCTACCCGGGACTCCAAATGACGCCTTGTTCCGTCTCAGGCTTTTCAATTTCCGGTGCAGGTGTACGGTAGAGTGGGGGGGCCAAATCCGGGGCTGGGCCCTCTAATCTGGCCCTTGGCCCCTCGAAAAGTGCTCATATTTGGGGGCCAATATTTCTCTGTCTCTCTAACTGTCTAATGTCTCTCTCTGGCACGCACTCTCCCGCCTCTCCCCCCCCCATCTAATTCCCCCTTCCCAAAATCGTTCCAAAAGTAGCGAGTTGTCTTTGCTTGTTCCCGGGGGGACCGTTTTGGAGGTCTTTCTCCCCTCTCTCTCTCTCTCTCTCTCTCTCTCTCTCTCTCTCTCTCTCTCTCTTTTGAGGGGATGAGCCCCAGCGAGGACCCAATTGTCGCCCCCTCCAACCCCAATTTCGTAAATTTATAAATTTTACTATTATAAATTAGAATTCTATTTTTTATTTCGCTAAATGCTCCTCCTAGACGACCACCATGATTTGATAAGGCACTTTTCTGGTTTTTTAAAAATTTCTACACCTTTTTAATGGATTTCCTGGCGTTAGATGCTTTTCTGGCATCCAATAAACACTGCTAGATTGCCCAGGAAAACCTAAGAATTTTAAAAAAATTTTTAAAATTAAAAAATGCATTTTTTTGAAAAATGCAAAAAGATTAATTTTTATGTATTTTAAGCGCAAAGCAGAAGCGATTTAAAAACGTTGAAAATTAAAAATATAAAAAACTAAAATTAAAAAGTTACAAAATTACAAAAACTTTCAAAAATTAAAAAAAACTATTGTAATTTTTAGCGCAAAGAAGAAGCGAGCGGCAACGTCGGCGAAGAAAAAGGCGGCCAAGAAGCAGCAGGCATTAATAGATTATGGAGAAGAATATGGGGATGAAGATGGAATACCCCCCGAATTATTGATGGATGATAAGAGAAGATCTGGAAGGAGACAGACCACCACTACAAAGACATACACTGAACCATCCATCCATGAATTCGACGAGTTCATCATTCCTGGTAGGTTTTTGGCTGTTTTTAGCTGTCACGGCGCCTTTAGAACCCCGAAAAAAATTATGGATTTTCTAGCTAGCCTTTTTAGGTGTCCCGGCACCTTTAAAAGCCTAGAAAGTCCCGATTTTACGCGAATTTTTTAGCTGTCGCACCACCCTTAAAATCCTGCGAAAATTGTCATTTTCTCGAAAATTTCTAGCTGACACCCCAAAAGCGTCAAGAGGCAAAATTGCACGTTTTAGCTGTCACATCGCCTTGAAGTTCCCGTGAAAATCGCGATTTTTCTGGAGATTTCTAGCTGTCAGCCACCTTTAAGATCCCCAAAAAAACTGGTTTTCCAATAGCTGTCACCGTCCCTTTAAAATAGGCTAAAAAGCCACAATTTCGGGGCCAACTTTAGTTGTATACCACCTTTAAAATGCCCCAAAAATTTAGATTTTCTTAAACGACAATAAGAATGCCTGGTTTTGCAGACAGCGAAGGGGGAACACCAACTGGAGATGAGGATGATGAAGATCTTCCACCTGCTGTACATATGCCGGCCGTTGTCGAGAAGGTTGGCATCTCTCTCTGTCTCTCTCTCTCTCTCTCTCTCGCTCTCTCTCACTCCGTCTCTCTCGCACTCTGGATCTCTCGCCCACTCTCTCTCTCTCTCTCTCTATCTCTCTCTCTTTCCCTTTCCCTGGCGTAATCGATTACGATGCCTTTTCAACTGGCAAGCGTTGCGTGCGCGTCGCGTGTAGTGACCCCCGGCAGATCCATGCCGATTAAGACCCCTGCCTCCTGCCAACTCCCTTTAATCCCTCCATTTTCCAGATCCTTGCAATGCGCAGTGAGGGTGGTGAGGAAAGCGAAGAGGAATTCTACGTCAAATGGAAGGGACGAGCCCACATGCACTGCGAGTGGAAGACTGCCGTATGTTTTTTACTCTAAATCTCATAACCAGGGACGTAGCGTAATACAGGCCCCGGGGGCCCGGTGCCCCCGAAATCGGCCGGGGCCCGAAAATTTCATAAGGGGGACCCTTATGTTTTTTATTTTCTCAAAAATTTTGCTGCCTGCAGCGCTATTTTTTCACGTTTTTACGGCTGTTTGTAGAGCTATGCAACCTGTTTTCAAAAATTTTTGCCTGCGGCGCTGTTTTTTCGGCAATGTTTTGAGTTTTTTGGGAAATTTTTTTTGGGGGCCCCCCCGAAATTTTTTTCTGGCTACGCCCCTGCTCATAACCAACATAAATCCCACAATAATCCATTCATAACGCCCATACTGGCAGGCTAGCAGAAACGCGTTGCGGAAAATTTTTCCGACACAGAATTTTTGAAGAATTGGAAATTTTGATTTTATTTATAAACTTTGCTGTTTTGCAACCGATTCCGCTATGAAATTTAAGCTCCTCGTATCTAGCGCGGCAAAAATCGGATTTAAAAGCTTATGTATATTGTTCTAACGTCATTTTGCGCAAAGATCGCGCCTTCCCAGTTGGCTCAGTCGGTAGAGCGTCGGTCTCTCAATCCAAGGGTCAAGGGTTCGAACCCCCCCAGCCACGAAATCTTTTGCTTTTTGGCCAAAAAGTATTGTATAATTTTGTTGGCCGATAATTGTTCTAATTACAGGCCCAACTGGAAGAGATCGACAAACGAGTCTCGGCCAAATTGAAGCGATACAAACAGAAGAGGGCAGCCGGAATCGAGGATGAAGAATTGAATGAGGATTATCTGGTTGTGGAGAGGGTATTGGCTCTGGATACACAAGATGATGGGGATGAATACGCGCTTGTCAAGTGGAAGAGTCTACCGTATGATGAGGTGAGGAAATGTGTTTTTGGTGGTTTTACGCGTCATTTGACGCTTTTGGAACTTTTAGCTTTAAGCTTGTTAATTTTAATTTGTATTTTAAACATATCGGAAAACGATAATCTGGTAGTCAATTTACAATATTCTGGACATGAAAACCAAAAAACAAAAACTTTTGCCGCGCCCGGGAGTCGAACCCGGGTCATTCGCCTGGTGCGAAAATGCGCTTAAATCGGCTTTATTACATTCCCAAAATATTTTTGAGTTCTGCAAGCGGTTAAATGCCTGCCAGTTTACCGTATTTCCATTCCAAAAAGCAAAAAGCAAAAGTCTTTTGCCGCGGCGGGGGATCGAACCCGGGTCATTCGCCTGATAAAATTTTTTGCAAACAATTTTCAACAATTTTTCAGGTAACTTGGGAGCCCCTATCTACCGTACCCACCGAAAAAATGGAACAATGGGAACGATGGCAAAAGATAGACAAGGCAAAGAGTCGAGACAAAGATCGACCGGCAGTCAGCCAATGGAAGAAGCTGCCAGCGGATATTGAATGGAAAGGAGGCAATCGATTGAGGGAATACCAATTCGATGGTGTCAACTGGCTGACGTATTGTTATTATCATCAACAGAATTGTATTCTGGCTGATGAAATGGGACTCGGAAAGACGGTACGTTGCGGAGATCATTGAGGAGCCTTGGGGAGGGCTAGCAGGGGTTTTTGGGGAATTTTTTAGACGAGCCTTTTAACTGGTATCCAGATTGCTTAAATTAAAAACTAGGCAGGCTAGCAGTGACCATTTGTGGAAATTAACTTCCACAAGTCCGATCTGCCGCCCAGAGGGCATGGCACGAAGCGTGGCAGGCTAACAGTGGCCGTTGTGGAATTTTTGCGCTTAATCCTTTAACTGCTATCCATAGTTCAAAAATTCAAAACGAGGCAGGCTAGCAGAGACCATTTGGGGGTATTTTTCAGGCTAAAGTCCGATCTGCCACCTAGATTCAAAAGTCTGGCTTGGCAGGCTAGCAGTGGCCATTTGTGGAAATTTTGTGCCCAATCCCTTAAAGACCGTCAGAACGATGAAATATCGTTTAGAGCAGAAGTTGCACCGGGCCGGGTCGAACCGCGATGGATCGCTCCACAGTCCGACGCCACCACTATAACAGCCAGGGAAGAGGCGACCCCCAAACCCCAATTTTGCCTAGTCGGGCACCACATACGACCCCTCTCGCTTCTTGGGCACCCTCGGTGCATGTGGTTCCATCGTTCTGGTAGTCTTTAACTGCTATGCATAATCGCCAATCGAATACTAGGGGGCTAGCAGGACCCTTTGCGGAAATTATCAAACAAAAGTCCGATCTGCCCTCCACAAATCCTTTATTTTGCAGGTGCAAACGATCACGTTCCTGTCTCGTGTCTACGAGTACGGTATCCATGGCCCATTCCTAATTGTCGTCCCCCTATCCACAATCCACAATTGGGTCCGAGAATTCGAGACGTGGACTGATATGAATGCTGTTGTCTATCATGGATCCGCTGCAGGGAGACAGGTAATGCATTACGATAGTTATTCCAGGGTAGCTAGCAAGGATCCATTGAAGTAATTGTGTTAGCTGGTATCCAGTTTAAGCCTAAAACAAAAAGCAAAAATTTGCCGCGGCGGGAAGTCGAACCCGGGTCCTCCGCGTGTGGGCCAAACGACTTACTGGACTATGCCTTTTTTAACGGTTTCCCCTTTTTTACCTTAATCTAATATAAATCTTAAAAATATCCAAATTTTAAATAAAAGGACATTGATTAAAAATCATTAACAAAATTTAAAAAATTCATTTTTATCGGAAAATCACTATTTTAATCCGATTTTTGCAGATAATCGAGGGCCACGAGATTTACCACGAAAAGCCGACCGGCAGTGACGATAAGAACAAAGGATTGTGGCGGAAGGGAATCTGCAAACTCGACGCCCTGATTACCACCTTTGAAATGGTCGTCACAGAAGTCGAATTTCTGCGGAAAATCAACTGGAGAGTCTGTGTCATCGATGAAGCACATCGACTCAAGAATAGAAACTGCAAACTGCTCACTGGTAGGCAGTTTAAACGACTCATAACCTGGGAAAGCAAAAATTTAAAAAGATATGGGGCGGCGGGGGTTGAACTCGGGTGGTTCGCCTGACACTCGTTCGAGTCTAAATCAGGCCTTCAATCGTTTAAAATTATTTAAAAATTGATTTAGAAGTGGTGAGATTTTGGGGGTCGAAGAAAAAAAACGGATAGAGGGGAGGGGGGGGAGGGGGGAGGGAGGTTTGGCGGGGTTTTTTTTTTTGGTAAAAATTTTTTGAAGACTTTAAAAATCAAGCTAACTGGTAGGCAATTTACGGATTCCCGTCTTAAAAGTCAAAAAAGCAAAAAGTTTGACCACGCCGGGAATCGAACCCGGGCCTCTCGCCTGATAGCCAAATGTCTTATCCCCTGCGCCATCCATCCCCATTATTTTCAGGTGGTTTATTGTCTCTCCGTATGGAGCATCGTGTCCTTCTCACCGGTACTCCACTGCAGAATAACGTTGAGGAGCTCTTCTCCCTTCTCAATTTCCTTCATCCCGAGAAATTCGGAAGTTCCGACGAGTTTCTTCGCGAGTTTGGCGAGTGCAAGACTGACGAACAGGTGCGTATTTTGATGGCGTAATCGATTGACTGCATGCCAGAATGGCCGTATTCAAACGAAAAAGTTTTTCAAAAAGTTCTGTTTTCCATCGGATAGCATTTCATCGCGTAATCGGTTCGGATTCGAGGAAAATTCCGGACTTCGCCAGCGTAATCGATTTGCCGGGTGCCAGAAAAGAGTCTCAAGAATTTTGGATCTCCACTGGCCCTTAAAATTATCCGAAAATCGCATTTTCATGACGTAAACGGTTGAATTTTTGTGTCGTAAGCGGTTTTACCTAGAATTTCGGCGCGTAATCGAATAGATTTCATGGCGTAATCGGTATTTTCTTCAACCGTGCGGTTTTTAATCGTGTAATAGAACAGTTATACTACCGTAAACGGAACTTGAAATTAATCAAAGGAAAATGCGATAATGCGAGAATTACCGTAGCGTAATCGAATAGCTGTTTATCCCTTTTTCATGGCGTAATCAATTGTGAAAATTTTCAGGTGACGCGCCTCCAAGAGATCCTGAAGCCAATGATGCTGCGCCGTTTGAAGGAAGATGTCGAGAAATCCCTGCAGCCAAGAGAAGAAGTCATCATTGAAGTACAATTGTCTGATGCCCAGAAGAAATATTATCGCGCCATTCTCGAGAGGAACTTCACACATTTATGCAAAGGTATGAAAATGCGAACCCAATAAAAAAAACCATTTTTTAAAAAACGGGATGAATCGCGTAATCGGATAGCTTTTTCCGAGCGTAATCGATTGGCTGACCGCCAAAAAAGCTCCTTAAATGAAAAAAGAAAGATAAAATAAAAAACCATAAAGGGCCCGCAAGGCACTATGGCCCGACGCGACACGCAACCGCCAGCACGGTCGCCATAATTACCGTAATCGAACGCCAGCAAAGGCGTGCGGAAAACCACCAGAACCCACAAAGTCTCTAGTCCTGTCTTGCCGGGCCCTTTAAAGGTACACTAAAGTCTCGTTGGTTTGGTTACCGGCCGGTAACCGACCGCGGGATAGCAAACAGGGTTACGGTAGGCGCTTGCCGCGGCGCAAAACACTGCCAGCTTGGGCAGCCTCGGACCACTAGGCAAGGGGAGAGAGGGGGGAAGGAAGGGCGATAAGAAGGGTGTGGCAGAGAGCCCAAATTTCCTACCGCGACCGAACTTTTTGAACGAGATTTTAGTGTACCTTTAAAGACCGAAAATTAGCGTCTTCATAGCGTAATCGGATAGATTTTCAAGCGCTTTCCTCAAGAATCTCGGCTAGCTTGCCACGCCCATTAAGATTGCCAGATGGGAATAATTTCAACTTCTGATTTTATTTTAAAACATATTTTTCGGTATTCTAATTGTTTTGTGGCAGCTTCAGGTGGTACCGCGCCCTCGCTGATGAATGTGATGATGGAATTGAGGAAATGCTGCAATCATCCATTTCTCATTCAAGGAGCCGAAGAACAGATCGTCGCTGAGGTATGGCGCTTTTACATGTCATAATCGATTGGCTGCATGCCAGATTGGCCATGTATCTAATTTTTTATATTTTCTTGCCTTTAATTTTTCAAAACTAACGGACTTTTCTAAATTTTCATGCTAATCATTGCATCCAGATAGCAAATTTAGCTATTTTAATTTTATTTTTATTTTTCAAAATCGATTTTTATTGCGTAATCGAATAACCATTTTCATGCCGTAATCGAGTTTTGTCGGGTTGATCTCTTTTCTTCAATTAATTTTTAGGTCCGCCTCCTGCACCCGGAAATGGATGAGGATACGGCCCAAAGAAAGGCCCTTGTTGATGCTTCGGGAAAGATGGTGCTCATCGAGAAGCTGCTCCCCAAACTCAAATCTGATGGCCATCGAGTGTTGATATTCTCTCAAATGGTCAAAGTACTCGATCTCATCGAAGAATTCGTCTCCAATCATGGGTTGGTGGCTTTTAAAAGAGTCGGAAAGGCAAAAGGGAGATTCTCGAAAATTTCGAAATTTCCGTTTTTCACGACTTTGAGGCCCTATAAAATGATAATTCGGATAATTACAGTAGTTCTCAATATATTTTCTGGTAGAGCTGAAATTTTGTGGGCTTTCGAATGGTATATAAAACATAGCTACAATACTCCTAATCGTTCACAAAAACCACGCCCAAAATTGGAAACTTCGAATTTCTGCAACTTTGGGGGCTCATAAACTGAGTTTCCAGTGGGCTACGGTAGTTTACAGAATGCCATTCAAAAGAGCTCATTGCCCTCTTTCGAACCATATATAATACTTAGCTACAGTACCCCCCGCGTCAAGAGGACTGGCGCGGAAAAGTGGTTTTCGAAATTTTGAAAAATCTTTGTGTTTCGCCGCTCACGCTTCTAATAAGTGCCGCATTCCCCAACAATTACTGCCAGACTGCCAACTGGCACGCAGTCTTTAAAATAAAATTGCGTTTATTCAATTACGCATGGATTTTTCAGATACCTCTACGAGCGGATCGACGGAAATGTGCGTGGAGATCTCCGCCAAGCGGCCATCGATCGTTTCTCAAAGAAGGATTCGGATCGTTTTGTATTCCTATTGTGTACTCGTGCCGGTGGATTGGGAATCAATTTGACGGCCGCTGATACCGTAATCATCTTCGATTCGGACTGGAATCCACAAAATGATCTCCAAGCACAAGCGAGATGTCATCGTATTGGCCAACAGAAGAGTGTCAAGGTGGGTCGGCTAGCGGAGGCTATTTGCGGAAATTTTTTTGTGGTCTTGGGTGAATTGGCAGCCAGTTTTATCAATTTCACCGCAAAAATCAACCGATTTCAAAATGAAATTTTTTAGAAATTTTTAAGGTTTTTCGATTGGCTGCCTGGCAGTTTGCTAAAATTCGGTTTTAAAGTTTACTAAACTAGTTTTTAAATTTTTGATAACGCTAATTATCTAAATTGGCAGCTAGTTTAACTAAATTTGACTTCAAAAAATGTCAAACCCATTATTTTTGTGGGTTTTTGACGTTTTGAGAAAAACTGGCGGCCAGAATGCTCGAATTGCCTTAAAAATCGAATTTCGGCTTTAAATTGTATTATTTATATTATTTTTAAGCGTATTGGCAGTCAGTTAAATTAAAAAACGACGTTTCATAATATTTCCAGACAAATTTCAATTTTTCAGGTGTACCGGCTGATCACGGCGAACACGTACGAAAGGGAAATGTTCGACAAGGCATCCCTCAAATTGGGACTCGACAAGGCTGTTTTGCAATCGACAACCGTTATGGATAAGAAGGAACAGCTCACCAAGAAGGAGGTACGCATTTTAAAGGAACCGCCAAGGCAAAAATGTCAAAATCGAAACAATAAAAAAATTGATTTTCCGGCCGTTTTTCTCGCAGTTTTGGAGTACTTACTGTAGGGAAGTGAGTTATATCATTTTAAAGAGCGAAAAGAGCTCTATCAAATGGTATACCGCAGGCTACAGTAGCCCACTGGAATCTCATTTTATAGGGCCTCAACGATGAAAGAAATTCGAAATATTCTATTTTCCGAGACATTTCTCTTGACGGCTAGGGGTATGGTAGCTAACAAGGAGACCTTTTTGAGTGTCGTCGGGACTTTGGCACGGGACCAAGCTTATCTTGTGCAGAATTTTACGCTGATTCCGAATATGGTAACCGTTTTTGCGGAATAGCAATTTCTCGGAAGTTATGAACGATTTAAACCTCAAAACAGCCCAAAATCGGCTAATTTCAATAGTCATAAAAGGCTTCAAAATAGGTTTTAGACAAAACCAGATCGTGCATCTTGTTCAGAAAAAAATTTTCTATAAAATGTACCATCTTTTCCAAAATCATTGAAAAGTTGGAAAAATTTGATAAATTGGGAGGATTTTACAAAAATTTTCAAAATTCCAGCATTTTTGAGTTAAGTAGCTTATTTTATAGAGAATTTTTTTCTGAACACGATGTACTATCTGGTTTTGTCTAAAACCTATTCCGAAGCCTTTTATGTCTATTGAAAGTAGCCGATTTTGGGCTGTTTTGAGGTTTAAATCGTTCATAACTTCCGAGAAATGGCTATTCCGCAAAAACGGTTAACATATTCGGAATCAGCGTAAAATTCTGTACAAGATAGGCTTGGTCCCGTGCCAAAGTACCGACGACACTCAAAAACGTCTCCTTGTAAGTGTAGTATATCCTTCGAAAGAAAAACCCGAGCTCTAGCAAATGGTATACTGTAGGCTACCGTAGCCCAACGGAATCTGATCGTAAGAGGCCCCAAACATAGCAAAAAAATTGGCAGTAACGGACCGGAATACTGTATATTACTACTTTTTGATATTTTACGCGCCTAATTTTATAAACTGACTGCCAACTTAGCTGTCATAATCCCTTTAACCCCCTAAAACTATTTATTTTCAGATCGAAGAATTGCTGAAGAAGGGAGCATACGGCTCGATAATGGACGAATCATCGGAAGGATCGAAATTCTCTGAGGAAGATATCGAGACAATTCTCTCGCGAAGAGCCACTACAGTAACCCTTGAGGCCGGAGTGAAAGGGAGCACCTTCTCAAAGGCTTCTTTTGGATCATCAAATAACACCGAAGAGATCGATATTGATGACCCCAATTTCTGGAACAAGGTGGGTGACTAGCAGGGGTTTTTTGGGATAAATCGACGAACTGGCGACCAGATTGACGATCTACATCATTGGCTACAAATTTTGGGCAAAAAGCAAAAAGTTTGGCGGTCCCGGGAATCGAACCCTGGTGGCTCGCCTGCTGCTCAAATTGGCTAGAACTTTAACTCTAAGCCTTGGTAAATCCCGCAAGGTAACAAAAATGGTAACTGCCAACCAGTTTACCGAATCCCAACGTAAAAACCAAAAAGCAAGAAATATTGCCGTGCCTGGGACTCGAACCCGGGTCGTTCACCTGATATCCAAATCACTTATCCACTTGGCCACGGTCACAATATTTATTTTCCCGTTTTCAGTGGGCCGAGAAGGCGAACGTCGACCTGGAGAAGGTGAGGGAGCGACAGAGCGGAAAGCAGCTCATCATCGCCGAGCCGAGGAACCGGAAGAAGAGGTATCGGGCTTATTTTTAGTAACGTTATAAATAGAAACTTTTTTATATTTTTCGTAGTGTAATCGTTTTTCAGTAATTTTTCATATCGTAATCGCTTGAAATTACCTTATCGTTCCGAACCAAAAATATTCTCAGACCCAAAATGAACGAGCGTAATCGATTGCCCGTTTCACGCCGTAACGAATTGCCTTCCAGATTCGAAGAAGACACCCTAAAAGAAGGCGAAGGATCAGGATCTGATGAATCAGAAATGGGAGCAAAAGGAAGAAGAGATCGAGCGCGAAAGAGAAGAAAAGGAGTGGAGGATGATGATGATGAATATGTCAGATATCGACCCGATGAATTGGCATTCAATAAGACCGACTACTTCAAGGTATCGTTTTTTTTCTAGCTAGATTTGGATTGTCTGGTAGCCAGCTGACTTGTCCGGGCCGTTAAAAATGTCTATTTATTGAAATTTTTGCAGGTTGAGAAGCTGATTGGGTCGTTTGGCTGGGGAAGATGGAAGCTGATCAAAGAACAAGGGGATGTTGATGTGAGTTCTCTCTTTGCGATTTTGCTCTTTCTCTCTCACCCCCTCTCTCTATCTCTGTCTCTCTCTCTCTCTCTCTCTCGTTCTTTCTTTCTTTTACCCTCTGCTTTTCAGGCGAACGAGACCGAACTTGAACACCTTGCCCGTACCCTAATCCTCCACAATCTTCGTGATTTCCGCGGTGATGAGCGGACAAAAGAATATGTCTATGCTGTCATCGAACCACTTGATGCTCGAAACTACAAACAAGACACCAGGAATAAGGTTGGTGGTGCTCAGAAAGTTGCAAAATCGGATCTTTGCAGCTAACTTCCGGTTGGGCGGCACTCCCCGAGTACAATCCACCGAATTTCGCCCTCGACGCCTCATTCCAACGGCATATCCACAGGTAACGGACGTTTAAAGGGACAATGACAGCTAGAAAATGGGCGGAGCTTCGCTAGAGGGGCAGTGACACGCAGAAAAATCGATAATTTCGTAAAAAAGCGGATTTCGCAGCTGCTGCTAGGGACGGTGACACCCGAAAAGGGGCGTGGCCTCACTAAAGGGGCAGTGACACTTAGAAAACCCGCTAACTTTTGCAAAAATCCAAATTTTGCGATTTTAAAGGGACAGTGGCAGCTCCAAAAATCGATAATTTCGCACAAAATCTAATTTTCTGGGTTTTAAAGGGGCGGTGACAGCAACTTTTTAACGTAAATATTCAACATTCTCCCTTTTCAGATACTCGAACAAACTGGTCTCCAAAGTGGAAATCATGCATTTCTTCTTCGAGGGAATTCTGAAGGATCGCCGTGGAGACATTGAAGCGGGAAAGAAGGCTGAAGATATTGAAGTGACATTTGTGCCTCCATTGGAAGGAATGGCTATCGATGGATGGGATATCAATTGTGACAAATCTCTCATCATTGGATGTTATAAATACGGTAAGTGGGGGATGGCAGAGAGCACTTGGGAAATCGATAGAATGGCTGGCTGGCAGCTAAACTATTTTCAAAAGGGCAGGCTAGCAGAGACCATTTGAGGAAAATTATGGTCCAAAAGGCTCAAATCGGCTCGTTTGAAAATCGACTGCGATGTGTAAATCCGGACCACCAAGGGCCAAATGGCAGAGATCCTTTGGGGAATGGCTAGATCGGCAGACAGATAAACTATTTCCAAATGGGCTGGCTAGCAGAGACAATTTGCGGAAAATTTCTGGAAACACCTTCCAGCAGGGAATCGATTACGACTGGTAATCAAGACCTCAAGGGTCAACTAGCGGAGATTTTTGGGAAATCGATAGGCTGCCAGGCAGATGGACGATTGGGCAAACTGGGCAGGCTAGCAGAGGAAATTTTAGGAAAAAATTTCGAATCTTATGAAAATTTACCAAAAAAGTTTTGCAGGCATGGAAAATCCGGACGCGATGAAGGCGGATGAGACGCTGTGTTTCTTGGAAAAGGGATTCGAAACAATGCCGACAGCCAATGAGATCTATGCTCGATTGAGAAGAATTCAACAGAGAACAGCACAGGCTATTAGCGATGAAATTGCCGCGAAACAACCCACGAAATGGGCACGCAGGGAAGAAGTCGAATTTGTGAGGCTGATTGCCACGTTTCCCATCAAAGATTGGGATGTCGATATTACGGCGGTGGATTGGAGTGCTGTGAGGTAAGTAATTTTTATCGTTTAAAGGGTTCTTCTCTGTTTACGGGGGGGATTAACGAGAGAAATCAATTTTCCCGCATTAGGGAAACCGATTACGACAGGTAATTATCTAAAAAAAGCCAGCCGGGCAGACACTTTTGCGAAATGGGTAAATTGACCGGCAGATAAACGGAATTCGACACGGGCAGCCTAGCAAAGAGCATTTGCGGATAGTTTTCTCGATTTTCTCATGGAGGAAGCGATTACGACGGTTTAATCGTGGGGTTCGGGGCAATCTAGCAGGGATCTTGGGGGAAAGGATAGCCTTTTTTCCAGATAAAAAAAATGCGAAAGGGGCATGCTAGCAGAGACCATTTGGGAGCGAAAACACGGATCGGTACTGTAAAATCCTGCGTTTTCAGAAAGCGTTCCCCGATGTTCGACAAGAAGACCGACAGCGACCTGCAAGCCCACATGTTTGCCGTGTTGGCACAGTGCTTCAAGGTTTGCAATTCACGCAATTCAGAAATTACATTTTTAAACAATTTCAAAGTCCAAAAATTTTATGCTAATTTTTGGCAAAACAAATAAATAAAAAAATGGGAATTAACCAAAAAATAAAAAATTTTTTATAAATTTTTCCTTTAAAATTTAAGAATTTGAATTAAATTTTAATTTAAAAATTGGGGAGGGAATTTAAAAAAAAAAATTAGGGAAAAAAAAAAAAAGGGGAAAAAAGAAAAAAAAAGAAAAAAAAAAAAAAAAACATTTTTGTCAATTTCCATTTTGCCATTTGAAAAATCAATTTTCAGGTTAACTGCCAGACAGGCGACCTTAATATCTCATTTTTCAGGCAAAAGGCGCAGCGACAGACATGCCACAAGCATTCGCAGCCGCGGCCCCAATGTCCGAAGATCTATTGAATAGCAATACAGCACAATCTATATTGGGAAGACTGCAACTATTGAAGAAGATCTCAATGGTGTGTGAAGGAGGAAGAGATGGGCTGGATGAAATGGACGAAAAGATTGGATTGTGTCCCAGAGATGGATTGCCAAGTGGATGGACTGAGGAGCATGACAAGGAATTGTTGATGGTAAGTGGAGAGGGAGGGAGGGGGCGAGAACGAGCAGAAATTATCGGGAAAACAGATGGACTGGGTGGCAGATAAGCTATTCCTGAAGGGGCATGCTAGCAGAGGGCATTTGCGGTAAATTAAGGCCCAATCGACTCAAAATCGCGTCTTTGAAAACCGATTACGACGTGTAATTTGAGTCTCAACTTGAGACTCTCAAGGATAAGACAGCAGGGATTTTTGGGGAAATTGATAGAATGGGTGGCAGATAAGATTTTCCAAAGACAGCAGGCTAGCAGAGGGCATTTGAGGAAAATTTTTCGCCAAAATGGCTCGAATCTGTCTTCTGGAAAATCGGTTACGACGGGTAAATCCGGACCACCAGGTCCCAGCTAGCAGAGATCATTTGGGGCATAGATGGACTGGGTTATTCCCAAGAGGGTAGGCTGGCAGAAACCGCTTGCGAAAAATTCTGGCCCAGTTATCTCAAGCCCCGCGCTAAAAATCGATCACTTCAGGAAAATCCGGATATTTTAAGCAGACTAGCAAAGATCACTGGAGAAATCGCTAGCCTGGTCGGCAGATAGATCAATGCAAAAAGGGCAGACTAGCAGAGACCATTTTCCCCACTCCTCACAACCCCATTTCCAATTTTGCAGGTAGCCAACGAGTACGGTATCAAGGATATCTCAGTGAATATCCTCGGGAAACCCCTCTTCCAAAAGATCATCCGCCCATCCGAATCTCTTCTATTTCGTCGCGTAATCGATTTGTCGGCCACGATGTTGACTGGCAAATATTCGCCGCAGGATCCACAGGAATATATGCTCGATGAATTGCAGGTGGGTGAGAAACAAGGTTTAATGGATTACGATAGCTAAAGAAACTCAAGCGATTATGACATCTTAAAGTCTGCATGCCAGTTTAGATTTTGTGACAAAAAGCTTCTAAAATCGCTTTTAAATACCTTTTAACTATACGATCGAAAAACTGCATGCCAGTTTAGCCAAATCCATTAGAATCAAACTGTCACGCTCCCTTTAAACGGCAGAACAGAACTGATCGCCATGTTAAAGAATGATAGCCAATTTGGCTATTTCCGCGAAAATGAATATCATTCCAAAGCCAAATCCATAAAAATCGGTCTGTCACGGTCCCTTTAGAACAATTTTGACTATTCGATTACGCTATGTTAAAAGATGCGTGCCAGCTTAGAAATTCAAAATTAGACAGTTTAGATATTTCGAAAATCCACCTGTCACTCCCCCTTTAAACGTTCTTACCCCCACACAATTTTCCATCCGATTACGCCATCAAATGCTAAACCACGCCCCTTTTTTCAGGAAGAAAAGCCACGCCCACAAGCAGCAGAAACAAGCCAACAACAACAGCAACAACAACAAATGCAACAAATGCTGGCGGCTCATTTATTGGGAGCAGCAGCTTCGGCAGCTGGAACTCCATCAACCTCTGGAGGAGCAGGGGGACAAAGAGCAGGAGGACAGAGTGGAGGACAGAGGAGCAGGAAGAGACCCGCCAAGGCTGCACAACAAGATGTGAGTGAGAGCAGAGAGCATTTGGGGAATTGGGGGAGGTATGGATTCTGGCAGGCTAGCAGGGACCATTTGGGGAATCGACCAACTGCCGCAGATCAATGAAAGCGGGAAACTAGCAGAGACCATTTGGGGAATCGACCAACGGCTACGAGACAGAAATTTGGATTGAGGCAGGCTAGCTGTGGCCATTTGGGGAATCTTGAGCCGAGAAGCTAGGGATTGATAGCTTGGCATTCAGTTCGTCGATTTTCAAAAAGGCAGACTAGCAGATCCAATTTGCGAAATTTTTAATACAATTCCAAGCACCAGAAATCGATTACGACTGGGAATTCTGGCCACGAGGGCAAACTAGCAGAGATTATTTGGGGAATCGTGAGACTATCAGACAGTTAGTCGATTCCCGAAAAAAGGGCAAACTAGCAAAGACCATTTGCAACGGAGGATATCAAAATTACTGATTTTTTTCAGGCGGCAGCCGAGCTATTGGCGGAACAAATGCAGGCGGCAATGTTGCAACAATTGATGATGGCCACAGCACAAAGCGGAAGTGCACAGGGAGGCAATACAAAGGATGCCGCTGCTGCTCAGCAACTCCTTCTTCTATTGGCACTCACCCAGCAACAACAACAACAACAACAAACACAACAACAACAACAGCAACAGGTACGGGCGGAGGGGCAGGCTAGCAGGGATTATTTGACCCTAGCAGGGGTCATGGCGTTGAAATTCTCGTTAAAATAGCTTATCTGGCTGACAGTTAAGCCATTTCTCTACTCTCTCTCGCTCTCTCTCGCTCGCTCGCACTATCTCGCCCCGTGGGTTCGATCCCGCGCGCGGTTTTCGATTTTTTGCTTTTTTCAGAATTTCCAAAAGTCACCAAAAATGCAAAAATTTCAGGCTCAACAAACGGCACAACAACAACGCCAAGCGCAGAACGAGGCGAACCAACTGGCAGTGATTGGCGCATTGATGGCATGTACGAGTGGAGATGATATGGCTGCATTGACGGCACAACAGAAACAGGCACTCATGCTCATGATTCAACAGGTAAGGCGATTTTTCGTAGGTTGTAACGGTATACGCAGTTGTAGTCCGTAGTCTGGCTGTCAGGTTAAAAAAAAAAAAAAAAGGGTTGGAGAATTTCAGCTAAACCTGGCCGAAAAACCAAAAAGGAGGGGGATATTGGCGGGGGGGGGGGGGGGGGGGTTGTTTTTTTGGTGGTTTTGTTTTTTGGGGGTTTTTTGGGGGTTTTTTTTTTTTTTTTTCCACTAAAAAAACCATTCCCATTCAAATCTGTGCCTAAAAACCAAAAAGCAAAACCTTGCCGCGCCGGGGACTCGAACTCCCTTCCTGTGATTGGCGAGCAAGAGCTTAACCAATCGGCCACGAAGAGTATGATTGCAAATTTTTAATTTCAGCAAGCCACCGCCCAGCAACAACAACCATCCACATCACAGACCACCCAACAACAACAACCCGCCCCCGCCAAGCAGACGCAACAAAAGGTGGGTCTAAAAATCGCAAATGATCTGCGCTAGCCTACCCTTTTTTGGAAATGGGTGGAGGGAACCAAAACACAAAATTCCGCAAATAACCTTTGCTAGCTTGCCAAAAACGGATTTTCAAGTCGTAATCGATTCTCTTGGCGGCAGATTGTATCCTGGCGGCAAGATTTCCACAGATTGTCTCTGCCGGTCGGCTCTCTGCGAATTCTATCAAACTGCCAGGCAGTGGCATTCCTCAAATGACCACTGCTACCCTGCCTTTAAATGGTTTTGAAAAACGGTGAAAAACCGAGCTTCTTCCAGGCCACTCCCTCGTCTTCAAAGCCGTCCACCTCGTCAGCTGCTTCCGCTTCAAAAGCCCAATCGGATGCGACAGCATTGGCTGCACTTGCTGCTGCTGCTAGCTATTCATCTGGGGATAATGCTGATATATTACTGCAACTGCAACAAGCACAATTGGCTGCTTATGGATTGACGATACAGGTCGGTGGAATGGGGCCGAGTTTGGGGAATAACTAGCAGTGATTTTTGGGGAATCGGTCAATTGAATGTCAGTTAGAAGATCAACAAGAGGGGGACATTTAGCAGCGATTATTTGAGAAAGTTGGAGCTCATTTTGTAAGACAACCGATTACTGCTGGTAAATGTCGCCTAGTCATGGCAATCTAGCCGAGATCTTTGGGGAATCAAGAGCCGGGACGACAGATAGGAGATCCCCCAAAAGAGGAAACCTAGCCGAGACCATTTGAGAAAGTTAGAGCCGATTCCATTAGAGAACCGATTACGAGGCTTTTATAGGGGGGTAGCGAAGGCAATCTAGCAGGGATCTTTCGGGAATGTGTTAACTGACTGTCAGATGGCAGGTATCCGAAGTGGGCAGACTGGCAGAGAGAGTTTGTCTTCTAAAACCCTTGAAAACCCACAAAAACTGCCGAAATCGCATCTTGGCCTGTGGCCAGAAAAACGAAAAAGTAGGCGACCTAGCCAAGGTCATTTGCGGAACCGATAGACTGGATGGCAGTTTGCCAAAATCCAAACTGGCAGTCCAGCAGAGACCATTTGTCGACAGCCAACCGTTACGCAATGAAAACAGCCGATTTCAGGACTACGTTCTCCTCTCCCAAGTACCACAAGAGACAAAAGTCCCCTGTCGACACCGTACCACCTTGGAGATGTTGCCCGCTGATCAACAACCATCTGTCCAAAATCTCATCCAATTCCTCGACAAGAATCCACAGTATAAGGTACGTTTCAAGACTAGGGGACGGCCGGAAATACCGGATTTTGGCCGGATATGGTACTGGTCTGTTAGCGGGGGGAAGGGATTTTAGGGGTAAGGGGTAATAAAAAATATAGCTCATTTTATAGCATTTAGCAGTTCTTGGCTGGTAGGGCTATGAAAAGTGATGAATTTTTGGTAAAAATTCATGAAAAACAACCAGAAAGTCAAAATTTCGAATTTTTACAGTTTTAAAGATTTTTTTGATAACATTTTAGCAATCAAACACTTCTAAAAGCACCGGAAAAAATCATTCGTTATTAACAGGCAAATATACGCGGTAAAAAATAAAAATTAGGTTTTCCCCTGTTAAAAGTCCCCCCGCTAACAAACCAGTACCAAATCTGCTACCTTGCCGGTCCCTTTAAAGGCACAGTGCCTCTGGTATTTTGTTATTTTTACGGATCAAATTTTTTAGGTGGATCTCCGCGGCGAGTCAGCCTCAGCCACCCCACAAAGGAGCAAGACAGCCACACCAGCGGTCAGTTTTTTAAATTTTCTTGCGGCAACTAGCAGAGAGCATGGTGGAATTTGCCTTTTTCAGCAGTCGACCCTCGGCCAGTGGCCACGCCCACTCCTGTTGCTACACCAAAACCCACAGCTGTTGAACAACAACAACCATCAACATCTGCTGAGGGACCACCCGAATTGAAGGTAGGCTGGCAGGGATCATTTGCGGAATGGGGAGAGTGGATGGCAGTTAGATTAAATCCAGAAGGGCGGGCTAGCAGAGACCATTTGCGGAAAGTTATGAGCACCTTCAGAAAATGGACACTAAGAATCGATTACGACGGGTAAACCCCCGAACAGCAGGGGGCCAGCGAGCAGAGATCATTGGAGGAATCGATAGACCGGGTAGCAGAGGAGAGATTGTTAAAGGGGAGCCTAGCAGAGATCATTTGGGAAAAATGATCGGGCCTCAATAATTTTTTACCTTGTAAAAAAGAACTCATTCCCTGAAATCCTACCTTATATAATTTTGGTGTGTATCTTTGTGTGTGTGTGGATGTCAGTTTTGAGACCCGATTTGAGGGCCTTCCCGTGCCCAAAACGCCCCAATTCTTCGTCACTAGGGGGAATCGACACTCCTGTTTCCGATGGCGTTCTTAGAATTACGATAAAATACAAGTTTACAAAGTTAAAGTCGGTTTTATTCATTTTTGGGGGTCCCTGAGGTATTTGCATAATGTGAAAAATAGATTTCCTCATTCTTGCGGTTGCGCTCGCGTGTGTGGTCGGTTCAGGGGGTCGAAGGACCAGTATCGGAAAGTCAATTTCTCATGCAAGGGCCGCATTCCAGCGCCCAAGGCCCGCGAAGCGGGTTTTGGGCGCTGGTCCACAATAATCAGGCCGTCTAGGAGGGATCCTTTGCGGAAAAGATAGAATGCCTGGCAGTTAGATTAAACCCAGCGGGCAGGCTAGCAAAGATCATTTGGGAAATTTGTGGCATTTTCGGATTTCCTTCCAAGAATTTGGTAAAAGTTCTAAAAAAGCTAATTTTTCAGGCGGAAGAGGTGAAGGAGGAAGAGCTGGAGCTGAACCTCGACACCAAGACGGTCAATGGGACATCAGCAGATGATCAGAAAGACATCAAAACCCCCGGCCCCTCATCAACAGCGCCAACACCACAACCTGCCGCCACACCCACACCACAGGCGACGTCTTCAAGCAGTTCAGCGGCCGCGGCCAGTGCGGCGGCTGCAGCGGCGGCTCTTGCTCAGCAACAGGTACGTAAAGGTCGTATTCTAAAGGAACTGGACAGTCTAAAATCCATCAAAATCTCGATCTTCGTCAATGCCAAAATTCGATGATTTTGAAAAATTGCGCAAATTAAGGGCTACAAAATGGTATATAAAACGTCAAAAACGACGATTCCTCTATGTTAAATTCCTCAAAATTTTTCAACAAAAATTTTACCGGAAATTTTTTGATTTTTCAGGCGGCCCTGGCGGCGTTGGCGGCAGCTTCTGCGCCCTCATCATCTACCTCGGCTCAACAACAGCAACAACAACAGCAACAAGCCCTAATGATCGCCCTAATGCAGGCGGCAGCTGTACAACAAATGCAACAACAACAGCAACAAGTACAGCAGGCACAGAGCAACAACTCCGCCTCCAATGCTGCCGCCAAATATCAACAGGAAATGCTGCAACAAGCTGCGTTAATACAGCAGACGATGCTGCTACAGGCTGCTGCTGCACAGGTTCGTATCTCTCGCTCTCTCTCTCTCTCTCTCTCTCTCTCTCTCTCTCTCTCTCTCTCTCTCTCTCTCTCTCTCTCATCTACAACTAGCGAGTCATTGGGAATCGTGCCTGTATGCAGTTGGAAATCCACAGGTATTTATCTCACTCTTCCTCGTTCGACTGGTAAATCCCTTTTCATGGCAAACTAGCAGAAATTTTTGTGGGTTAGCTAGCCTGGATGGCAGTTTGGTGAAATCCAAAAGGGCAGGCTAGCAGAGAAAATTTGAGGAATTTTGAGCCAGAAACTTTAGAAACGGGGTCCCTAGGCAATCGATTACGACTGATAAATCCAAATATCTGGGGCAAACTAGTAGACATTTTTGTGGAATAGGTAGTTTGGGTGGCAGTTTATTCAATTCCAAGAGGGGCAGGCTAGCAGAGATTATTTGAGGAATTATTAGCTAAAAATCACGAAACGTTGGGCAATCGATTACGACCTCTAATCCCATCAATTTGCAGGGTTACTCTGGTATGAGCGGAATGCCCTCAACAAGTTCATCCAAACAACAGCAGCAGCAACAACAGAATCGGCCGAAGAACAGGCGGTAAGTAGATGAACATCGAGACTTATAAGCCATCCATTCCTTCTAGCTGGCCGCCTACCAGACGATGGCGTTGCTCGGAGCTTTGAATGGGAATCAAGCAGCCGCCTCCGCTGCCTCCTCCAGTGCCGGTCAGTTTGATTGTACCGAGCAGTTCAAGACGTTTAGCCGCCTCTAGAGCTTCCAAAATGACATATAAAAGCAGCCTGGCAGTGAGATTTGTGGAATTTTTTGGGTCGAAAAATGGGGGTGGGAGATGGTTAAGGAAGGAGGGGGGAGGATAAAGATTTCCTCCGGATGAATTTGAGGTTTTACCGGAAAAACTAGGGATAGCTAGATTGGCAGGCAGTTAGCCGCTTCACAAAAGAGCAGGCTAGCAGTGGTCATTTGCGGAAAACCTGAGCAAAATGTTGCGTTGAAAATAATTGCCTTTTTAGCCGCCCAACAACAACTTGCCGCAGCGCTGATGGCCGACCCATCGGCATTGGCCCTTCTCGCAGCCGCTCAGCAGCAGCAACAACAACAGCAGCAGTCGAGCAGCAAACGGAGGAAGGAATAGCCTGAAAACTGCCCCCTATTAAAAGACACTCCCCTTTGCACATCTATTTTGATACCCGGTGCCAGTGCCCCGATCTCCCCCTCTAATCTATTAATTAATGCTCCCCTTTTCTACACGCCCTATAACAATTGATCTCTCGATTCTATGCATCACATATTATTGTTCCTTCCCCTCTTTTCAATGCATTGTCAGTCATTATCATCAAATTGTGTGCAGCTATCGTCTCTTCTTCTCCTTTCCTTTTCAGGTATCGATATATCGGAGGGCAATCTCTTCAAAAAACGTACCCTCCTAGCCCTCATTCCGAATACGGGACCCTCACCTCACATTCATTCTCCCTCTTCCCCGCCCCTGATCATCTACATTTTGTGATCGCCGCGAGTTATCCATCCATCCGTTTCGGCTTGACAATCGTGCTGCCCAGAGCTCGATCCCTGTCAAGCGGAAATGGCCACCACCACCCTCAAACTTCACAAGCGATCCTCCGATAAAATAATATATTTAAAAGTAGCCCATTCCTAACAATGCGCACACAACACAAATAATGTACGTGTATTTATGTGTGTATGCTTTACAGAGAGAGAGAAATGATACAACAATCTACGGGTAGTGATAATCGAACAATTTGTCATCTAGAAGAACAGAAAAAAGGGGACACGGGGGATACACTATAAATCGACGACTACAAGGCGAACAAACACAATTCGGAAGAAGAGACGGGGGACACCAAGGTCGAGGAGATGGCTAGTTGTCGCATCGGAGACGGGCTGTCGCTTCAGCAACCAGTTAGATGGCCGACGCGATCGCTTCCTGAAAAACGGGATTTAGAAAAAGCTCACAGCGAAACATTCTCAAACGAAAATCATAATCAAAATTGTAAACGCACCCTGTACTTCTTGATCTTGGTGGCGATGGACAGGTCGACGTACTTGTCGCCAATGTTGAGGATCAGGCCGCCGATGATCGAGGGCTTCACCTAAAAGGAAACGTAAATAGAATGAATCTGGGAAAAAGGGTACCTGGTAGGTGACGGTGACCTTCTGGCCCTTCTTCGTGAACTGGCTGAGCACGTCGTTGAGGGCGCCCTCGTTGCCCCGGTTCAGCGGCTCGGCGGTGGTCACCTGGAAAAGAGGAAATTAAGCAAGCCAACAATGAGAAAGAAAACCAAAAAAACAAAAAAAAAAGGTCAAAACGCGCTAAACCCCTTATGGATACCTACAAAACCTCACTTTAGTCTCAAAAACCATTGAAAAACTCTTTTTGGTTCAAAAAAATCCATTAGGACGGTCAAATTTGTGTTACCCCGCCTACCGGGTACAGTTTTCAGGTTTTCGTGGCGGGACCCAGATCGGCTACAGGCGAAAAATTTACAGGGAGGGATTATAAAGACACAAAACGGAAAAAATGCTCATTGTAACTGGCCTTTCAAAGCGATCCAAACGACAAGGCCAAGATACAAACAATTTCCAAATTTTTAGTGCGCCTTTCCCCTACATTAATTTCAGTGCGGGTCGAGCAAACCAAACGGGCTTTTTTCCGAAAAGCATTTTCCTAAGACCCTTCCCCCGCCCCATAACGCAATTTATACCTGCACGAAGAGCTCTCCGCGGTGGGCGCGCATGATGGATTCGTACGAGGAGATGGCCGCCGACAGCTTGGAGAGACGACCATTCTCGGCGAGCAGGGCTGAAAAGAAACAAATGAAAGGCAAGACAGAAGATATAGATACCTAGGAAGTTGCCGGTCTCCTTGCAGGCTCCGAGCTTCTTGGCAATCTCGGCGATGGTCGCCTTCTTCTTGTTGGCCTTCAACGTCGGGTCACGGACGAAATCCTGGAAAAGAGAGATTGATAAACTTCGGCGAGTAGGCCAGAAATTTAGAAATTCGACGGCAGGATCGAGCAAAAAGCACCGACTATTTACGAAAAATTTGGGCATGAATACGAGAAGACACGCATCGCTGCAGTCAAAAATGAAATCGTGTTTGCCGCCCGCTGTCGCCGAATTTCTATAAAATTCAACCCAAAATTTATACCCGGAATTTCTCGTTCTCCTCGAGGATGCCCTTGACGGTCTGCAGATCGCGGTCGACCTGGTCGAGCTGGTTGCCCTTGTGCGCCGCCGAGTAGAGGGCCGACGCGTAGCGCCCCTCGATGCCGTGCGTCTGAAAACAAGACAATATAGGCAAGTCAATTCGAGAAACAATGTAGCGACATTTCCAGAAGGGGGGGGGGGGGGGGGGGGGGGAGCCAGGACACCAAGCTGGGAGCGCGGCACAGCCCAAAAAGCATTAGAAACACACCTGCACGGGCGCCTTGACCAAGTTGCTGCCGGCCCGGGCCACGGACGACATCGAGAGCGACCTCTTCAGCATTTGCGAGGCCATCCTGGAATGAGGGATTGATGAAAGTATGGAAAAGCACAGCTCGAAAAGCCAAAAATGAAGAAATCCTCGAGCAGATAGAAGCAAAAAGCTTATGCAATGGCCAGAATGTAAAAATTAATGGTAATGAGTAGGGTATTAGGTCGCCTAGAAAGCTATTCTCCGCTTGAAAACAATTTATAGGGCCACAATTTGAGAGATCGAGCTCTCCGGGGAAATACAGGTGAATTTGTAAAAAGTTTAGGAAGATGATAAGCTTCTCGTCATAGAAATCGAGCAAAAAAACACGCGCAAAACGTTGCAAGGATTATAAAATCAGTGCTAACATGTAGAACTTCTCAAGAACAAGCAAATAAAATGCGCCCGGAGGCTAAAAAATTAGCCCTTTTTGGGGAGCTTTGGGATGTGAAAAAGAATTTCAAGCTTCGAAAGCGCTATGTCGCATCAAAAACGCAAAGAAAGTGCCGACGCCAATTCAAATAGTAGGCAAAATAGAGGAGAGAAAGCTAAACTATGAATTTTCCTGTATAAAACGTAAAATAACTTCAAAGTAGAAAGTTTAGCGAAAGAATTGTTGAAAAAGCATAGAACCGCGGGGCGTTAGAGACGACGAATAGTGTCGTCAGCCCAGTCGTACCCCCGCCGCTGCGGGACCCAATTTCGTAACCAAAGGCGAGCACGTGGGTCGACGATGGAGATTTCGTTTTCTCTGCCCCCTTTTCGCTAAATCTATCCTCTTTTTGACAATTTTAAACTTCTTTTCACGCCAATTTTTACGAAAACCTCTTCCCCATCGCCAATTCCATCTTCCCGCCGCTTTGCCATGCTTCTGGTCTTTTTTCCGAGCTTTCACCACATTGCGCAATAACTTTCGCCATTCTCACGTGTGTGCCCTTTTGCTTTTCCTATATAACCTCCCACTTTTCCAGCTCGTCGCCCAGCTCGAATTGGAAGAAACATGCCGCTCGCCCGCGATCTGCTTCACCCCGACCCGGCCGAGGAACGCCAGCGGTAACTTTTTAGACGTTTTCCTTGGGTTAGCCCTCCTCTAGGTGTTGTGGCTTGTTGCAGTTGCGTATATTGAATTTTGTCCCGCCTATTTAACGTTGAAACTCGGGGTTTTTTTTTTGTGAATAGCTGTTTCTGGCGGTTTGTGCTTGGGCTTTCAGGCGTCGACAAAACTTTTCACAACGGTTATCTTATTTCGCCGAAGGGGTGGGCCAATCGATTTGTAGACTAGCCCGCGCAACTGCAACAATGCCAAGTTTCCCTGTAGCCTGCCTAGCTTTGGATCTTCTGGGCGTCCCCCTGCGCGAAATTATTCTTGACTGGGTTTGCTGTTACCTTTTGTTTTATAAATTTGTTCATCTAGGCGCATTTTACGTTTGTCGGTCGCTGCGTCTCTTATTTTTCGTTTTAGCATTTCACCGCTACGGTTAGGTATCGCGATTTGCTCGCGTTTGGCCCGGTCTTTTTGTTTCTTGTTTTTGTTAGAGGGGCTAGGGGTTATGTAGTTATTTGCTTTTTAGCTATCGCTTTTCTAGGCGTTGAATTATATTTTCCTTTTCAGACACAAGCTGAAGCGTCTCGTGCAACACCCGAACTCGTTCTTCATGGATGTCAAGTGCCCAGGCTGCTACAAGATCACCACCGTCTTCTCCCACGCCCAATCCGTCGTCGTTTGTGTCGGTTGCAACACCGTCTTGTGCCAGCCCACCGGAGGAAAGGCGCGCCTCACAGAAGGATGCTCGTTTAGGAAGAAGCAGCATTGAATGGGTTACGTTTTTGTTATGATCGTTATAAATTGTTTCTACTATGTATTTGTGCATAAATTGTAAAACGAGCGCATCGTAGTCTTTGTCTGCAAGTACACGGACATGAGAGAAAGGATGGATTTGTGTACAGACAATTTCGGCTTCTGCTGTTGTTCGTCGTCTTGGTTCTTGGAAGATGGCGCCGGGAAAGGTGGTTCTGCTTCTTGGTGTTGAGTATTTGGAATAGAGTCGGCAGAAAGACGGCAAGGCTGGGGATGTGGCAGCGAAAGATGAAGCTGCCCTCGCGTTGAGAAAGGTTGGCGCTTTGTGAGCCTGGCTTGCTGTGATAAACCAAAAAAGCGCCGAACGCACCTAATTTTCCATTCAGGACGGCTCGATCGAGATCCGCGTGCACGCGAAGCCGGGCGCTAAAGTGAGCAAAGTGACTGGTTGGTTTTACTTACTAACATTAGCTACTGTTATAATGTTTGTGCCTTCTAAAAAGATCTGTTTAGATGTGGGCGCCGAGCAGATAGGCGTGTCGATCGCCGCCCCACCACGCGACGGCGAGGCCAACGAGGAGCTGATCCGCCATCTTCGACAAGTGCTCGGCGTCGCGAAGAGCGAGATTAACTTTGATAAGGTGAATTTTCAGAGATTTATCGTTTTTCGGTATTTTCGTTTTTTTGGCGCTATCTCGGCATCCAATCCAAAGTAAAATCTTTGCTTCAGCACTTTCCCGGCGTAGTTTTTCGCGCCGGTTCCGAATAACGCTATCGCGAGCCATGAATTATTTTGGTCATTTAGGCTTACGGCATTCACCCAAAAAGGGGCTTGTAGTCAACGAGATAAATAAAAACCAGAAACCAACAACCACCGCAAAGACCGTCATTACGTCTTTGGGGGCAAAAACTTGACTTTCAAGGTTCGGGATAGTGTTTCGGAACAAGCGCACAGAAACACGCCTGAAAAAGTCGTTTTTACGCGGTTTCGGCTGGGGGCCCGGATTTTAGCGCGTTTTTTTAGGTGCTGTAACTTCCCATTTTCAGGGCGCCAAGTCTCGATCGAAGGTGATCGTCGTCTCCTCAAAGCAGCAGCTCACCATCGAGCAAGTCATCGAAAAGCTAAAGGCCGACGCCAATTGATTTTTTTACGGGTTTTTATTAATAAATTTATGAAAACTAAAGTTGATAGAGATAGTTAGAAAAATAGATTTGCTGATCTGCTGCCCTATTCGTCCTTTTCTGTGCCGGAAGTTGTTTACTGGGACGGACGCTTTTTGAACCTAAACAACCGAGAGGCGGCTGAGAGGGAGAGGATGAGAAAGGAGAGGGAGAGCGAGAGACAGAGAGAAACAGCGAGAGAGAAAAAGCTGTGCACTCGGACGGTGGCCCGTTCTCTGGAAAGAGCTCAATTTTTTCCAACGATCGACGCGCGATTTTGGCTTGTTTTCCCTTGGATTTCCCCTTTTTTGAAGCCAAATTTGGCTCTGGAATTGAAATATGCAAAATACGGCATACTGTAGATGATTTGTCCTCATTTCTGGATTTTGGAAGCGTTTTGCGGGGATTTTTTCGAAACTTTTTTCGCTAAAACATCCCATTTTTCCAGAGCCACATCCCGCCCGCATTGCCGATGCTTTTGCTCTCGCTATTGGCCGTGTATTTTCAGGTGAGTCGGGGGCGGTACTGGGCTGTTAGCGGGGGGGGCGGGGTGCTCATAAAATACTAAAAATTGAATTTGCCTTTCGGCCAAAAATGTATAAAAAACTACCAGAAAAAGCTAAATTTTGGATGGTAAAAAAAAAAAAACTTTATACTTTCTAGGAATGAAAATCTACTGAAAACGCTATAAAAATACGTGATTTCTTATTAATATGTGGGTATCGGTGGGAAAAAAAACAAAAATTAGCTCCCCTCGCTCACAGTCCAGTTTACCTGCTCGCCCTCTATTTCCGTCCACTCTTCCCCTTTTTTCAGACGATCCCCTCGTCCACAGCTGTAGATGATCAAGGATGTTCGGGGTGTTCGGCGTATCAATGTATCGAGAAAGAGGCTTCCTGTGGCCCCCGCGGCTACCCGATCGGCTTCGGCTGGCGGAATTGCCGTGTTTTTGAGGACCCCGGTGCGTCGGATTTCATTTTTAATCAATCAGCCGGCCGTCCCATTCGATAGAGCTGCGAATTGTTAACCCAAACCAAACATGCTTTAAAAAGTGCCAAAAGTTACTGTGAAACCGAAAAATAGGAGAATAAAATTTGAAAATTTCAGAATTTTTTGCGAATTTTTGTCGGCTAGCCTAATCGCTCGCCACTTTCAAGGCGTGTATTCGGTTCCAAATTTTGCGCTCTATCGAATGGGATATATAAACGATCTGAAAATAATAAATCAGCCTTTTTGGTTACAGTAATCCGCTCGCGATTCACGCCGGCTGGCGTCGAATGGGCCAATTGTACGGCAAAATGTCTGATCGACGCCCTGCAACAATTCATTACGGTCGGTCTATTTGTAATATTAATAAGCGTAAAATGTTGCAAATTTTTTTATTTCGTAGGGACAAAAATATGGATTTTCGGCCAAAATTTGAATTTTTTTAAATGTTCGATATGGTCGAAAATTGCCCCCCCCCCGATAATGCCAAAGAACCCGATTACGACATGTTTTTCGACAAAACCCGATTTTTTCAGGCAGAACCGGGAGCGACGTGTGATCGTATCTCATCGCGTGCGTATTCTTCTCATGTTGGCTGCTATATCCAATGTGGTTTCTGTTCAATATGTGCTGATAATAAATGGGCACTCGCCAGGGCATATAATTATGTGAGTTTCTTATAGGATTAGGGGCATGCTAGCAGAGATCGTTTGCGGAATAGGTATTCCTAAACGTAAAAACTTTCTAAATTTTACGAAAAATTCAAAAATTTGCGAGTTTTCGACCAAAATCCAGGATTTTTGGACAAAATTTCGTTTTGCAAAAAGTCTTAGATAGTTTAGCTCGTTTAAACATAGCTGTATTCTACAAAAAACATTCATAGACTACGACTGGGTAGGCTAGCAGAGGCAATTTGCGGAAAATTCTCGCCCAAGCCTCGAACTCGCGTAATTGATTACGACTGGTATATCCGAATTTCCGGGGCAAACTAGCAGAGACTATTTGGGGAATGGGTAGACTAGGTGGCAGATAGATAGAATCCAAAAGAGCAGGCTAGCAGAGACCATTTAAGAAATCCTAGGGACGCGAAACTGTCAAAAAAATAATTTTTTTTGGAAATTTTCCCATTAAAAGGTAATTCCGATCCATAAAATTCTGATGTTTCGAATGGGCAATCTAGCAGGGATCCTTAGCCACAACCGGTTACGCTATATATTGTTTTTTTTCAGGGTGATTTCTTCTCATTCCGTGCCCTCCAACAGATCTGGTCCATCGCAAAGGAATGTGGCCCTTTTGCCTGTTTTTGTAAGGGATAATTAGATTGTGATTTTTAAAAATATATTTAAATGTGATTTATGCCTTTTATGTGCCGATTATTGCATTCGAATAAATATATTTATTGCATAGAAACTGGCAAGACTTGAAGCTATAGAGTGAAGAATGGGAGAGAAAAACACGAAATCGTGCGCCTTTTTAGCCTTATAAAACGAGAATTCACTGGGTTACGGTAACGTACAGTATACCATCTGATAAAGCGTGATTTTCTGTTTCGAATCGTATACCATACTTGGCTACAGTACCCCTAGCCGTCCAGAGAAACGGCCTGGAAAATGGGATATTTTGCATTTTTTGCATCTTTCGGGCTTTATAAAACAAAATTCCGCTGAATTACGGTAACTTTCAGTATACCTCTGATAAAGCTAGATTTTCTGTTTCGAATGGTATACAACCACGAGCTACAGTACCTTTGGCCGTCAAGAGAAATCCCCCGGAAAATGGAAGATTTCGAAATTTCTGCATCTTTGGGGCATTATAAATCTAAATTCTGCTAGCTTATGATAACTTACAGTAGAACATTCGATAGAGCTCGAGTTTCTCTTTCGAATGGTATACTGTACTTGGCTATAGCACCCCTAGCCGTCCAAAGAAATCGGTCGGCAAACCGGATATTTTGTGTCCACATTGCGACTCGAATTCGATATATATGTTTATGCGTAGGTTGCCTTCAACCGTCCTTTAGCCGAGACGGGGAGTGAAGCCCACATTGACAGCGCGCTTGCCCTGAAAAAATAGCGTTTTTCGAGCGTGGCCGATCGGTTAGAGCTCAGAACTGTCGTTCTAGAGGTCGAGGGTTCGGATCCCGACCTGGCAAAACTTTTTGCCTTTTGGGGAAAATGTTGCCTGGCAGCCAGTTTAGCCACTGAAAGCGTTGGTGTAGTGGTTAGGGCCGGGAACTGACGATCCGAGTATCCGGGGTTCGAATCCCAGCCTCACCAAACTTTTTGCTTTTTTGCGAAAAAACCCTAGGACGCTAAAAACGTACACGGCCGCCATTCTGGTTCCTGATCGGCGATGTGACCTGGGCATCGGCAGCCAGCCAGAAGATGACCACGAAGATGAGAGCGAGAAGGCGCATTTTTCCGGGTTGTCGAAGGGGTTTTTGGTGGGTATTTTCCCCTGAAAATCCTGCGCTTTTATGCCGATTTTTGCAACGATATTCTCACAATATAACGGCCGCTTCAACAATAATAATCGCCATAAATCACCCTGAACGGCGATAAAGTAAAATAGCATTTTTCGGCTGAAGATCGCGGCCGAAGCTAGTCCTCTCTCTCTCTCTCTCTCTCTCTCTCTCTCTCTCTCTCTCTCTCTCTCTCTCTCTCTCTCTCTCTATCTCTCTCTCTCTCTCTCTCTTTCTCCCCCTCTCTCTCTCTCTCTCTCTCTCTCTCTCTCTCTTTCTGTCTCTCTGTCTCCCTCTCTGTTTCTCTCTTTCCCTCTCTCTCTCTCTTTCCCTCTTTCTCTCTCTCTCTCTCTCTCTCTCTCTCTCTCTCTCTCTCTCTCTTTCTCTCTCTCTTTTTTTTCTCTCTCTCACTCTTTCTCTCTCTTTCCCTCTCTCTCTCTCTCTCTCTCTCTCTCTCTCTCTCTGTCTATGTGATATATTTGTCCATTAATGACATGTTGACACCCCCTAGAAGGCCCACCCACCAAGCACCCCCTCGACCCCCACTTTGCCCCTCGGCCAAACCAAATACTCGCACCACCTCTGCCCAAATTTCCATTCTCTATTGTTTTTTTTAGTAATTTTGGTCTTTAGATTGGAGGGCAAACTAGCAGAAACCATTTGAAAATAGTTTCCCGATTTTTTTTGGCATGTGAATCGATTACGACAGGGAATTCGACGTTTTTAGGGCAATCTAGCAGGGATTCTTTTCGGAATCGGTAGATTGGATGGCAGATTGAGCAATTTCAGGGGGTTAAGCTAGCAGAGACCGTTTGAGAAAATCTACGGTCGCTCTCGCGTCATATTTGCTATTTTTTCAGTCGATTACGCCAGGTAATTCCGCCAGTTCGGGCGATCTAGCAGGGATTCTTTGGGGAATGGGTGAACTGGATGGCAGATTGATGAATTCCGGAAGGGCATGCTAGCGAAGACCATTTGAGAGGCTTGACAGACTAGGAGCGACTATTCGGGGTCAGGCGAGCGACTTCTCGGCCCCTTTAAAACGATGTGAACTCTGTTTGTTGTCGCGCTCTCCCCATTTTCAATCCCTCGAATGGGCCTTAAGCCGTCCTCTTCGAGCAGCCATTCTGAGTCATGCATTTCCGAGACGACTGGGGTGCATTTAGAAAAATTCATTTCTGGTATTATTTGGGTCTAAAACTTTCCGCAAATGGCCTCTGCTCGCTTGCCCTTCTAGAATTCTTCTAACTGCCATCCAGTCGGCGGATTCGCCAAAAATCTTTGCTAGTTTGCCGCCGCGAACTCGGATTTACCGGGCGTAATCGATTGCGACGGATTTGGCTCGCTTTTCGCAAATTGTCCCTGCTAGCCACCCGTTTCCAAATTTTCCAAACTGCCATCCAGTTGGTCGATTCCCCAAAAATCTCTGCTCACTCGCCGCTTTATTCTCGAAAAACGCACTCCCTCCCGACGAGCCGACCCGAAAAACCGGGCCCAATAAAAAGCGCGTAGCGGACCTCATTTTATCACCTCATTCTGGGTTGGAGGGTAGTTTATGTATTTTCCTCCCACTATCTCCCTCTCTCTCTCTCTCCCTCTCTCTCCCTCTCTCTCCTCTCTCTCTCTCTCTCTCTCTCTCTCTCACTCGCCCTCCTGACAAACTGTCAGAAAATAGAAAATTGGGTCATTCTCCCGTGACTCAATTCTCGAAAAATAATTGCTAAAACTTTCTAAAGGTACTGATGCACTTTCTGCCCTCCAGAAAATAGAAAAACACGAATTGACAGCCCATCTCTACATATCGTTACAGGAATCACGAGTTTTCAAACTCCAAAAACCCGATTTCTTCGGTTTTTCGGCATTTACACTGCGTAACCGATTGATCAAATTAATTCTTATTTAAATTTAAATTATTAAGTTTTTAAGCTTTATTCCAGAAAAAAAACAAATTTCAGCCCCTTGTTATTTACATAGCATCATCTATTCACAAAATGAAAATGTTCCGATTTTTAGTGGTTCTATTATCATTTTTTCCAGTGAATACGCTTAACTACGCATTTGTATTTTGGGAATTTCTTCAATTTTTCGAATTTTTTATGGGTTTTTTCCGGAAAAAATCAAGCTCCGGTATTTACGTAGCGTAAGCGATTGGCCAGATCGAAGTTTTTTCGATTTTTAGTGGTTTTACTATCATTTTTGGCAGCCAGTACGCATAGCTACGCGAATTTTTGCGAATTTCTTCAAATGTTCTGGATTTTTATCTTTATTCCTGAAAAAAATGACGTTTTTTCGGTTTTCCAGTAATTTTATTATCTTTTTGGAAGTAGTACGCATAGCCACGCATTGTTCATTTTCGGAATTTCTTCAATTTTTCGAATTTTTTTATGGTTTTTTTCTTGAAAAAACAGATTTCAGGCTCCCCTGCTATTTACATAGCGTGTTCGATTGCGTGGCGATCGATAAGGAGACAGGGCTTCTTCTCCTTCTCCCCCCTTCCTTCCACCCCCGTTCCCTTCTAAAGCCCCAAAAAAGAGAAGGGCAGAAGGGGGCAGAGAGATAAAAGAGGGCAGCTGCACCACCACCACCGCGTAAATAGGAGCCACGCGGAATTTTTGGAGCTTCTGAACGCCGGAATTGGATTTTTTGGAAGCCCTAGTGCTAAGCTCTATTTTTCCGCCTAAAAACGCTGAAAATTCGCTGGAAATGTCGAATATGACGACGATTAGAAGATCGGCGAATCGAGCGCAGGTTTGAATTTTTTAAGCTTTTTTTCTGGCTTGGAAAATTTATAAAAAATCGAAGAACATTTAATTTTTGATGTTTCTTATATGTTTTTGAAGCCCTTAAATTCCTCTATCTAACTGACTGATTTTTATACGATTAAAACACCAAAATAGCGAAGAAAAATTGCGAAATTTTGTTTTTTTTTGTTTTTAAAAAGTCTATAAAATTGCGGAATCCTTAATTTTTGGTGTTAAATAGATCAGTTTGTAGTCCTTTAGTTTCTCTATCGGGCAAAAATTACCTGAATTAGTAAAAAAATAGAATATACGAAATACGTTAGGACGAATAGACCAAAAAAATGCAAAATTTTGAATTTTTTTGGCTTTCGAAACAGTCTAGACAATGGTAAAAACCTTACATTTTTGTGTTTTTTTTACAGAATTTTGTGGTCTTGCAGCTGTGCGATCTAATAAGGCTTGTTTTCATGACCAAAAATAAAGAATTTTTGAGATACATTAGGTAGAAACGAAAAATTCGTAACTTTTAGAATTCCTAAATTACCTCGTCTCTCCTAATAATATCGTATCAGATGTACGCATGGCGCATAAGCTCGCGTGTATTTGCTCACAATTAGCCAGAGTACCCACCTAGAATAGTACGTTGCGTATCAAATTACGCCGCGATACGCATTGACAAGGGCCATTTGGGATCCCGCGTACTCACAAGGACAACAAAAGACCGTAAAAGTCTTTTCGTTATCGATTCCTTATGGATTTTGCAGCTGTTGAGCAATTTCCGCAAAGAATCTCTGCTAGCCTGCCGAAAATTCCCCAATGACCCTGTATTTTTCAGAAAATGCCAACTGACAGCCAGCGGCCGGGGAATTTGCATGAGCATTTAGGTAGGTTGTATTTCTCTCACTCTCGCTCTCTCTCTCTCTCTCTCTCTCTCTCTCTCTCTCTCTCTCTCTCTCTCTCTCTCTGTCTCTCCCACTCTCTCTCCCACTCTCTCTCCCTCTCTCCCTCCCTCTCTCGCTCGCTCGCCCGCTCTCTCTCTCTGTCTCTCCCACTCTTTCTCTCACTATCTCGCTGGCTCGCTCTGTCTCGCTCTCACTCTCTCTCTCTCTCGCTCTGTCTCTCTCTCACTCTCTCTCTCTATCTCTCTCGCTCTATCTCTCTCGCTCTATCTCTCTCGCTCTGTCTATCTCTCACTCTCTCTCTATCTCTGTCCTTTTTCAATTCAAATATTCAGCCCGAATGGAGATGGTGGGACGTCCGCAAGGTGGCATCGGATTCGAGAGACTCGTCTGGGCACCTGACCCAGTTCATGGGTAATTTAGAATGCTAATTAATTGAATTCATCCTTTCAGCTATGTTCTGGGCGACATTGTGGATATTCGAAGCGATAGTTTATCGATTACGCGACGTAATGATGGGAAAACGGTAGGAATTAACCGTATCTCGCATTCTTGCGTAATCGATGACGCTCCAAAATCGAAAAATTTGTGCCTTCCGAGTGCTTTTAAAATGAGAAATCTTCTAACTGCCACCCAGTTGACTTCCCGGTCCCTTTAAAACACCAAGAAGTGCCGATTTACCGCTCAGTAGCTTTCCAAGTAGCATTCCATTGCGTAATTGATTACGCGTTGTAATGACCAAATTCGAGGCTTTTCAGTACCCTTCAAATGTTAAATCTTCTAAATGGCTTCCAATTGACTTCCCAGTACCTTTAAAACCCCTCTAAACCCAGGATTTCTTCAGATAGACGTCCGTGCCGATGACGTGTTCCCAGCCGACGCCTCAAAAGACACGACAGTCGATGACAATTGTGCCCTAATGTATCTCAATGAGGGAAGTCTACTCGAAAATTCGAGGCGACGATTCATCAATAAACATCATATTTATGTGAGTTGAAAAATGACCTCTTGCCCGCAAAAACGTGTCGTAATCGATAGCGACATCTTCAAGGAGCTCAAGCAAAACTACCATGTTCCGTCAAAAAATTAAAATTTGTCGATTTGTTAACTTTTTTTATTCATACTGACATACAGTAAGTCCAATGGTGGCTTTTTAAAGGGGCTCCGAAATCTGGTCCACGGCCCCCTGCGGTGATTCCTGGCAAATAGCCAGATGCTGCCGCAACGCGACCGCGCCGCATGATCTTTTGCCTCTGTTTGGACGCGAAAACGCTTGAATTTAAAAATTCTGATACTATTTTGGGAATTCTCAACGAATTTTGATCATTCTAGACTTTTAAATTATGAAAATTGGCCAGAGGATCACCGAGATCCAGAGGGTGGGTGCCTTACAAGGCATTACGACATGTAATCGCCGCCCACTCAAAAAGTCGTTTTCGCCCCAAAAAGAATTCGGTTTTTCTCAAAAATTTTACGTTTTTTCGCAATCAAATCACGTTTTTGGCACTCCACCCTTTCGTTTCTTGACCCGTAGGTGTTCAATCCCCGCACACACGAATTTTGGCTTCTGAGCCCCTTTAAAGGACGGACGGCTAGAAAAATTATACTAATTAATATTCAGACGTACGTGGCGAACATCCTGATCTCGATCAACCCATACGCGGAAGTTCCCGATCTGTACTCGACGAAAACGATGGTGTCCTACCGAGGAAAATCCATCGGACAAATGCCTCCTCATGTTTATGCTATTGGTAAGTTTTCGAAAAAAAACGCGTTTTTCTCAGTTTCCGAGACATTCCTGTTGACGCCTGGGGTACTGTAGCGGTGTACGGTATGCCATCAAAAAGAGAAAAAGGAGCTCTATCAAATGGTATACTTTAGGATACCGTAGCTTAATGGAATCCGAATTTTATGAGGCCGCAAAGTTGAAAAATCCGATTCTTGGCCATTTTCCCCCACTTTCCAACCCATTCCTCTTGACGTCTGGGGGTACTGTAACGGAGTAAAGTATACCCTTCCAAAGGAAAACTTGAGCTCTTTAAAACGGCCTATTGTAAGTTACCGTAACCCAGAGGAACCCAATTTTACAAGGCCTCAAACTACGAGAAAATTTTCGTATCCAATTTAAAGGGAGTGAGACAGCTAGGATACTAGCCTGTCACTCTGCCGCTAAATACACAAAATAAACATTTTTTTCAGCGGACAAAGCATTCCGAGACATGCGTCGCCACGGGAGATCCCAGTCGATACTTGTATCTGGAGAATCTGGAGCTGGAAAGACTGAGAGTCAGAAGGCCATTCTCAGATATTTATGCGAGAATTGGGGACAGACGGCTGGACCTATACAACAGAGACTACTCGAGAGTACGTTTTTTACGGGATTACGGGGTATCGGTCGGTTACCGGCATGACAATAGCTAGAGAGATAAAGCGAGAGAGAGAGAGAGAGAGAGAGAGAGAGACAGAGACAGAGAGAGAGTGAGAGAGAGAGAGAGGGAAAGAGAGCGTGAGGGAGAGAGAGAGTAAGAGTGAGAAGAGAGCGTGAAAAAGTGAGAAAGCTTTTAAAGGAACCCAGAAGTAACGAAGCCAACCGATTACGCTATAAAATTCATAATCCAGCCTTTTCCAGCCAACCCAATCCTGGAGGCTTTTGGCAACGCGAAAACGTCTCGCAACAACAATAGTTCGAGATTCGGGAAATTTGTCGAGATCCACTTTGACAATAAGGTGAGATTTTGGTGTCTCTGTCCTTTTAAATCGGCTGGTAAGTCGTGAATTCCGGCAGTTTTTGCCGCTTCGCGGGCCGGAACGCCTACCCTCGGTCGCTAAAAAGGTGTGGTGAGCGATCAGGCAATGGAAGGGCGGAGCGCGCGCGTCACGTGTCTCGGCGCGGTAGAATTTACAGGAAAGCCGCGACGCAATACGGAACGCACACGCCGGGTATTTCCTAGCCTAATCGATTACGACGCGTTTTTGTGGACAGGCGAGGGCGCGCCTCGGGCGTCGCGGCCTCATTTCGGTCCATATCGATTCAATCCCGGTCCCTTTAAACCCAGTAAATTCACATTTTTGCAGAATTTGGTTACCGGAGGCCACGTCTCGCATTACCTGCTGGAGAAATCTCGAATTGTCGGCCAATCTGAAGGAGAGAGGAATTACCACATTTTCTATCAATTGATCGCCGGTTCGGATGCGGATATGTATAAACTGTACGCCCTCGCACCGCCCGATCGATTTCATGTGGGTTTTTTCCGGTTGATTTACAAGTCGTAATCGATTAAAAATTGCCTAATTTATGGCCGTAATCGTTTAGTACCTGCGTCGCGGTTGCGTCGACTTTTTCGCACGGCCTGGCAATGAAAGGGGAATTAATGCCGATCGATTGGCGCCGAAGGTATCGTTATTTTTTGCCTTCAATGGCCCTTTAAACCCCTTTTTCAGGCCCAAACCCGTGTGGATCCAATTGTGGATGACGCGGCAGATTTCAAACGTCTCCTCTCTTGCCTCGAGAAATGCGGCCTAAATGAAGGAATGAGAAAACAAGTGCTGAGTACGGTGGCCGGGGTGTTGCACCTCGGAAATGTCGATTTTGTGGCGGTGGAGGAGGGAGGAAAAGGTATGCAATATCTTAAATGACTGACAGTTAATCCAAATCAGGCCAGAAAAGCAGGCTAGCAAAGGTAATTGTGGAAAATCCCCACCTTTGGGTCACGTTCCCTTTAATCCTCAATAATCGCTGCTAATTCCCCGTTTCCGGTTCCCAAATTTTCACTGCTAGCTTGCCCCGCCGCTAAAAAAGCGCACTAAATAATCGCTGCTAGGTCTCCGAAAATTTTAAAGGGCCGTTGAAGGCAAGTATACGGGAAAATTTATGTGGCGTAATTGATGATAAATTTTGGGTAAACTGTCAGAGACAATTTGCGAAATCGATCAACTGTCTGGTAGTTGGTTGATCTCAAAAGTGGCAGGCTAGCAGAGACTATTTGAGAAAAGTTGCGTCGAAAAACTCTTGGAAAACCGGTAATCCGGCCGTAAAAACCCAGGAACGGGCAAACTAGCGGAGATCATTTGTGGAATGGATCGACTGATTGGCAGTTAGACAAATTTTAAAAGGGCAAGCAGCAGAGGGCATTTGGGAATGGCTTAATCGCTATTTCCAGATGGCAGTCGTGTCTCCCCGGGTGAATCCGAGAAATCAGCGATTCGAGCGGCTGGAATGTTTGGTATCGATGTTCAGCAGCTTCGTCTTGCCCTTACCACTCGTGCAATGCAGCCATCCAGGGGAGGAATGAAAGGAACACTCATACTGTAAGTTGGAAATTTTGAAAATTCGAAAAACATTTTGAAAAACATCTAGATTTTGCATTTTTGGTTGATTTTTTAAATCTATTTCATGTATTTTGGCATTGTTTTTTTTGTATTCTGTAGTTTGTAGGCCATACACAAAAAATGCACAACATGTTTTCACGATATATTTATTTTTTACCAATTTCCGATTTTGTCGAAGCATGGCTTCCGAGTTCCTTTAAAGTGCCCAAACGCCCGGATCTGTCAGCTATTTTCTTTCCATCTTTTTAAAAAAAAAAAACAAGTTTTTTTTTTTTTAATTTTCCAAACCCCCCCCACTGGGGCCCAATTTTTTTTTTTTTTTTTTTAAAACGGAAAACACCAACGTTCCTCCCCTATTTAAACCACCCGGCCCCCCCGAGGGAGAAATTTTTTTTTTTTTCCCCCCTTTCCTTTTTAAATCACCTTAGATTGCCCCAATTTTTTGCGATGGTTGATGTGGGGTGGAGGGGGGAGGGATCGCCCAGAATGGGACCACAAAACAGTTAGGGCAAACACTTCGAGAGGGGAGTCGAAACCGTTCAACGGACTGTCCAGTCTCTCTCTCTCTCTCTCTCTCTCTCTCTCTCTCTCTCTCTCTCTCTCTCTCTCTCTCCCTCACTCTCCCTCACACTCACACACTCTCTCTCCCTCTCGCTCTCCCTCTCCTGTCGCTCTCTCGCTCTGTCCCTCTCTCCCTCTCTCACTCGCTCTCTCTCCCGCTCTCTCTCTATCGCCCTCCCTCTCTCTCTCTCTCCACTCGCTCGCCAGTTGTTTATTTGAAGTTTGGAGGGTTTTTTCGAGGTCCAGCCCCGGTCCCTATAGAAGTGGCTGCTGCTGACCACCCCGAGCTAAACCAACACTCCTACCGGCTTAACTGACTGAAATGGCAGACAAACAGACAAACTGACCGACACACACCAGGATTTTCACCTCTATTTGCTGACCATGATCTGAAAAACCGGGCTGATCACTGTTTTGGGCAGGCCGGAAAGTACCTGATCTGCAGAAAACGGCGGTTTTTTGAAAAGCACGGATTCCATGGCGTAATTGGATAGGAAAAATGTAAATGCCTATCAGTTGAGAAGAATTGATCGAGATTTTTGAGATTTTTGATTTCATAGCGTAATCAGATGACGATCTTTCGAAATTTGGAATTTTCTAGCGTGATCGAATATCGAACAGTGAATTACCGATCCGAATTTCCGGAAAAATCGGAAAAACGGAATCAATGCCGATACGAAACCACGAATTTCATGCCAGTTTACAGTAATCCGCAGAGATTTTCGAATTCCCTAGCGTAAGCGAATGGAAGGCAAAAAGTTCGGCACCAAAAAGTGTGGTTTTCCAAATTTTTGAAATTCCGTAAGTGGATGTAGTTCGTAGCCCAGGCCATGAAATTTTTGTGTGAGGTTGACTGTATGTCAAATTACACAATTCCATTCGAATTTTTGGGTTTTGTAAGGTTTTCGAATTACATGTTGTGATCAAATAATCGATTTGTGATTTTTGAACTCCTCGAGCTCGACGCTAGATTTTTTTAGTCGCTTAGACCTTAAGTTCCCAAATTACTGTAGGTACAACTATGCTGACAGCTCACTTAATTCGAGATTTGCCCCATTAGGCGCGCCCCGATTTTTGATGGGTTGTTTGCGCGACGGGGGATTTATGGGGGGTTTTTGGTTACGTGCGTGTGCGTATTTTTGGAACAGCTGTTCCTCCCCACCTGATTGTCTTCTTTTTTTTGGCCCTCTGAGCGCCATGGCAACGCTCTATGTCTGCCAATTAACCCGAAATTCTGCCTTGAAAATCCCCTGCGGCGAAAACAGCGGCAGTGTTCAGCACCAAATCTGGCGGGCAAATTCAGAGAACCGCACGTGTTTGCCGATTTTGCCGATTAAAGCCGATTAAAGGGGGTCTGAAATCACCAAACCGATAAAACCACAGCTGAAATGACCATCCGATTATGAAATGAAATGACAAAGTCTCGGAAAACTCGTGAAAATCACGAAAAAACCTGAAAATAGTCAAATTCCTATTCGATTACGCCATGAATTTCTACAAATTGATCATAATCCTATTAATTGCCATACAGTACAGCCTTCCGAAAATTTGGTAGTATCAAAATAAACCAAGGATTTCATCAATTTGGCAAACTTTGAAATGGGATCCGGTTACGCTATGTAATTCGAAAGCCCTGCGAAATGCTAATTTTCCGGCGGATTCCTACTAACTGGCATACTGCAAGCTTTTCCTGAAAATTGTAAGACTTAGACTACGATCCGCACAAAATTGCGTGATTGCAAAAATTTTGAAATCTGGGCTTTTGCTGCCGAACTTCTGCCCCCTCTTCGCTTACGCTAGGAAATTAAAAAATCGCCAAGGATTAGTGTAAACTGGCATACAGTCTGTCTATCCTGAAACTTTCACGGACTAGACTACGTTCTACACCAACGACGCGATTGCAAAATTTTTGCAATCCGGGGCTTTTGGTGCGGAACTTGTTCTGTCTTTTCGATTACGTGAAAAAAATTGTGAAATTCCAATGGTTTCCTATTAAATGGCATACAGTAAGTCAATCCTGAAAATTCCAGGGCCTAGACCACAATCTACACCAATTTACGCGATTGCAAAAATTTTGAAATCCCCGATTTTGATGCCGAACTTTTGCCCTCCATTCGGTTACGCTGTGAAACATCAATGCCGTGATTTTCGAAAGTCCCTAACGGCTTCCCAGATCCCCTAAGCGTTGTAGATCTATTGCGACGGAACAGCCCCCATTTTTTGGGTTGCGAAAGGTGATGCGGATCATTTTGAGGCGAGCGGCCTATCGTCTGCCCTCTCCTCTCCCCTCCCACTCTCTCTGCCCCCTCTCGTCTGCGCCTCTCCCCCCTCTCTCTCCCTCTCCCAAATCGGAAGCCCCGCCCCTTTCCAGCCACAGAAGATCAGCACCAACATTCAGCCCCTCAAAAGGCCCTGTTTTTCGTGGGTTCCCGTATAAAAACTCTTCTCCACAACCCCAGCTGACATACAATACGCACTTGTACCTACTGTACCCCGGGTTTTTTATTTTGCTGGAAGCTGGGCGGCGCTACTGTACCCTATTTTCGGAATCTCTCTTTTCTCCCGGAATTTTATTTCTGATTTTTTCATCAGAATTTATCTTGCTTGGAATACAGTATCTCCGTTTCCGAATTTTCATGATCCGCCAACCGATTTAAGTAGCGTAACTGATTGGAATTTCAAATTTTGGGTCTCTTAGCTCCTTGCGGAATTTCGAATTTTTTCGGTTTAGATTTGGAACTGAACTAACTAACAAAGCCGTCTTTGATGACGTAATTGTTATAAAACTGCTGCATACTAATACCGTATTCCATTAAAAATAGTGGATTTTGGCGATTTTTTTGCGTACTGTTTTCCAAAATCTGCTTTTCTTTGCGTTTTAAAATTTCTTGAAGTCCAAACTACCGTATGTCTGCCAGTTTAGTTTTCCTGTACTACAGTAAGCCGTTTTAGGGCTATTGTCGCGATCCCGCGACTGCATGCGCATGCTGAATGACCGGAAGAACAAGCTAATCACCATGCCTTCCCCTCATTACCATGTCGATTTCCCTACGTTCCCTGGTATATAAAGCCCCCATTTCTCGTTGTGATTGCTTCAGTCATCCGCTCCGACCCCGGCTTCTCCAGTCCTCATTTACTTCAACGAGGTGTCACCCCACCGGGGATATCCTCAGAATAAATGTTAAGACCCTTCATGTCTGCTCTCCCACGCTATCGAGACATGTGGTGCCCCGTGGGATCCCGGTCGACATCTACTGGACGTGATGCTGAACGCCGCCCCCGGGAGGGCCACGTACCCGTGTGATCAAGAAGACTCACTTTTTTGGCGTGATCCGGACGTTTTGAACGGGCTGGCGGAGTTCCACCCGACGTACCGTGACCGACCGTGTGCGATGAAGACCCACTTCTTCGGCGAGATCGGGCCGCCCCGGAAGGGCTGGCAGAGTTTCACCCGGCGTGCTACGACTCGACCGTGTTCAAGGGCAACTTCTCGCGTTCAAGGGCAACTTCTCGTGTTCAAGGGCAACATCACGTGCCAGGGCGTCTTCTCGTGATCACGGGCGTCTTCATCGTGTACAAGGGCAACGTCATCGTGTACCAGGGCAACTTCGCGTGATCAAGGGCAACTTCGCGTGATCACAAGCAACCCATCGTGTTCAAGGCTGACGACGTGCTGGCGACGAGTCAAGAAGCAGCGATGTCTGCCACCGCGGGTCGTCTGCAGGCCGTTCGACTACTGCCGCTGAAGCCTCGTCCCCCGGGAGTGTCGCGATCCCGCGACTGCATGCGCATGCGAATGACCGGAAGAACAAGCTAATCACCATGCCTTCCCCTCATTACCATGTCGATTTCCCTACGTTCCCTGGTATATAAAGCCCCCATTTCTCGTTGTGATTGCTTCCAGTCATCCGCTCCGACCCCGGCTTCTCCAGTCCTCATTTACTTCAACGAGGAGTCACCCCACCGGGGACATCCTCAGAATAAATGTTGTGACCCTTCATGTCTGTCTCCCACGCTATCGAGACAGCTATCATAACCCTCTATTTTAGAGAATTGCCGAAAACTTTGCGATTTGCAGGATTTTTGGAGCTGTCAGGCCCCTTTAAAACGAATTTTATAAGAGTTAATATTTTAAATTTATTTCTTTATCAACCAGTTTAAATTCTAGTTAAATTTGACCATTTTGAATTCATAAACATTTTTTTACTTTTTAAAACCTTTGAATTCCTAGATTTTTTACATTTTGGAAAATTTTGCTGTCACGCTCCCTTTAAATCCAATTTTTGTGCGTTAATTTTTCTATTTTCTTGTTTGCTTCTCGCCAGCTTAATAAATGTTAAATATCCTAGTTCAAAATTTTCAGAAAGAATGCAACCAATCCGTTTCAAACTGTTCCACGGCGGCTCGTCGGCCCGTCGTTTCCGGTTGACAGAACCGGCCGATGATGCGAAGAAGCTCTACAAACAGCTGACCGAAAAGATGACCCAAATGGGTATCGACGCGAAGGCGCTGCGATGGATCGATGCGCAGGGAGACAAGGTGGGTACGATAGGGGGTACGGTAGCTTCCGGAGATCCGGTAGATACGGTAGCCAAACGTCGAAAACGCCGTCATCTCGATCAGGTAAGGTTTACTGGACGCCGGCTTAGCGATTAGTCGATTTTTCGAAATCATAGTGTAGTTATTTTTGGACCTGAACTCCTTGAAGTAGTGGCGGGACCCGATTTCGGCTCAATTTCGTAAATTCCGGAATTTTGCGATTTTTAACTAGCGGATCGGATTTACTGTAGGCCAGCTTAGCGATTAGTTTATTTTTGGAATTACCTTGGGTTGAATTTGGCTCCTGAACTCCTTCAAGTCGTTGGAGGACCCGATTTTGGCTCAAATTGGAAAATCCAGTCATTTTCAGTCTGCCAAGTTTACCATAAATTTTAGATCAAATGCACAACCCCGGCCGATCTGCAGGAGGCGCTGTTCTGTTCCGGCGGCGAGGAGATGACCCTGTACGCCAAGAAGCAGAAGAAGGACGGACTTCAAGGAGTTCAGGAGGAGGATTCTGACTCGTCCGAATCTTCGGAATCCGACTCCGAAAGCGATTCCGACGACAGCAGCGAGTCGTCGGATTCTGAGGAGAGCGACGACGACGCCCCGGAGATGATCAAGGCGCCGAAAGAGGAGGAGGGACCTGAGGGAGGAGATGTGGACCGACGAGGCGGAAGAGGTGGAAAGGGGCGACATGGAGGACGAGGGCATCATGGCGGAGGTGGACACCATCATGGAGGACATCATGGCGGCGGACATCACCATGGTGGTCATCACCCGCCTGGTCCTCATCATCATCATGGACGACATGGTGGGCATGGTGGAAAGGGTGGAAAGGGCGGAAAGTGCCATCCACGTCCGTTCTTCGCCATCTGCTACCCCATCCCGCCCCCACATCACCGAGGAGGAAAAGGAGGTGAGGAAATCGTGCTGATTTTTTGGGTTTTATCAAAAACAAAGTTTTCGAATAAAAAAACGCTTACTGGCTGTCAATTTAGCGATTCTTTTTGTCAATTTTTCAAAATCATAGTGTAGTTAATTTTGGCCCTGAACTCCTTGAAGTCGGTGTGGGACTCATGTTTCGAGAATTCCCGGAATTTTGTAGATTTTTCTAGCAGATCGGGTCTACTGTATCCCAGCTTAGCGACCAATGCACTTTGTCAATTTTTCCTGTGCTAAATCTGGGCCCTGAACTCCTTGAAGTCGTTGTGAGACTTGCTTTCACAAATTTCGAAAATCCAGCAATTTTTAATTTTCTAAAAATTGAATTCTGTTTGCTGGCTGCCAGTTAACGTATTTAGCTAACCAAAAAACTAAACTCCTTGAAGTCGTTATGGTTTAGGCATTTTTTCCAGAACATTTTTAAAATTTTATTTTTCTCCTTTTTCAGGCCACGGCGGACATCACGGCGGCCCACCCCGCCCTCATCACGGAGGAGGTCACGGAGGACACCACGGAGGGCATGGACCCTTCCCGCCCCCACCCCACCATGGCGGACATCACCACGGAGGTCACGGCCCGTTCCCCCCGCCTCACCATGGAGGACATCATCACCACGGAGGTCACGGCCCCTTCCCTCCCCCTCATCATGGAGGAGGTCACGGCAAGCATGGTCACGGCCCCAACGAGTCCGACACCGGCAGCTCTGAATTTGAGTGCTGCTCCGTCCGCTCGGGCATGCCGATGCCGCCACCCCCGATGCAACCGGCTGAACTCCCCCAACTTGATGCCGCCCTCCAGGGGATCAACTTGGGCGGACCACAACGCCGCCGCCACCACAAGAAGCACCACCATCATCACCACCCACCGATGTGAATTGTACTCCTTGTACTTGCTGTTCTCCTACTTTTGAACCTGTTGAAGACGTGTGGGCCCTAAAAATTAGAAAAATGTTAAAAGTTGATTTTTCCGGTTTTGGCCCCAAAAAATCGAAAAAAATGTTCTCATTTCCATCTCACTCTTCTCTCCTCCATTTTTTACCGTTTTTTTTGGTTTGTAAGCTCCAAAAAAATCCGAAAAAAATTACGGTAACCTTCCTAATTGTCATTTTTTATTTTCTGATTTATCTACAGTACCCCAATGTATTTTTCGCCCCGAAACCCGTTGATAGTCACCCGGTGTATATAAATAAATTGTAGTGAAAAAATTGAGAGTTTACATCGCAATACAAAATACAAAAATACACATCATGGAAAATGGGTTTTTCGTTACAGCAACACAGCTAAATGTCATTTTTGCATGCCAGAAAGAACAAAAATACAGACGGAATTGAAAAACATTGCAAAATATTGAAAAATTCGGGGCCCGGCCTGGCGTGGCCAATTGGTAGTGCGCTGGGCTGACACCCACCCGACCCGGGTTCAAATCCCCGGCGCGCCAAACATTTTGCTTTTTGGGAATAGGCAATCTGGCAAACACGCAGCCTATTCCATTGTAGCACAGACTACAGACTACAGCTTTTCAACCCGTACGACTCAGGTTCGCGCGCCGACCGGGCCTATCTGTTTGCTTTTAGGGATTAGGGCCCGGATTTTTATGAGAGTCTCTAAACTGATAGCCAGACTACAAAATACAAACGATAGACTGCAATTTGAAGCTAAAATTTTGAAATGGTTTTAATTCTAGGGTGCCGCTGAAGCCGGCTGAAGCATCCGCTGCCAGAGATGCCCTCGCAAAGGCCATCTACTCGAGACTGTTCGACTGGATTGTGGCTACGATTAATAAGTAAAGCGAGAGAGACAGAGAGACAGAGAGCGAGAGGGAGAGAGTGAGAGCGAGAGAGCTATAGAGAGAGAGAGAGAGCTATAGAGAGAGAGAGAGGCGAATGAGACAGAGAGCGAGAGAGAACGTGAGAGAGTGAGAGAGAGAGAGTGAGAGAGAGGGCGCGAGCGCGAGAGAGAGAGCAAGCTAGCAGAGATCTTTTGGGAATTCTCCTGTTCTAGCCACTTTAAAACCATCGTTTTTAGGAGCATCCCGTTCACCAATTCTCACAACTACATTGGCGTGCTGGATATTGCCGGATTTGGTACGGTAATTTCGGCCTATTTGTCATTTTTTGATTTTTCTGAAACTTTTCACGACGACCGGTCCCTTTAAAACTAAAAAAAATCCTAATTTTTTGGTTTTTTCTCAGAATACTTCACGATCAACTCGTTCGAGCAGTTCTGCAATCAACTACTGCAACGAGAAACTGGAGAATTTCTTCAACGAGAGAATTCTGAAGGAAGAACAGGAATTGTATGCAAAAGAGGGACTCGGGGTGGACAGGATCGAATTTGCTGACAATCAGGATTGTATTGGTGGGTTGAGAGGTCATAGCCAGCTTGCCTATCTAACTGCCACGATGCCTTTAATACGCTGAAATTCGTCAAAAATTTCTGCTAGCTTGCCCTGCTACCTGTCACGCTCCCTTTAAAACCCAAAAATCCCCCAAAATCGCCGCTAGCCTGCCCTGCTGCATGTCACGCTGCCTTTAAAACGTCAAAATGCCGCACATGATCTATTGTAGCTTGCCCTGCTAGCTGTCACGCTCCCTTTAAAAAGCTGAGATTTCCCAAAGGAACTCTGCTAGTTGTCATAGGCCAAGAAACCATTTTTCCGCAAATTGTCCCTGCTAGCCTGCCTTGCTTGTTGTCACGCTCCCTTTAAAACGTCAAAATTCCGCAAATGATCTATAGTAGCTTGCCCTGCTAGCTGTCGCACTCCCTTTAAAAAGCTGAGATTCCACAAATGGTTTTTGCAAGCTGCCAAAAAGCCATTTTTCCGCAAACTCTCTCTGCCGGCCTACCAGATTAGGTGTCGCTCTCCCTTTAAAACGCTAAAATCCGCAAATAATGGCTGCTAGCTGGCCAGCTTGAATTTAATTAGGCCTTTCTACCAAGGAAAGCAGGTTTTTTTCCACAAATTCTCCTGGCTAGATTGCCCTGCTAGCTGTCACCCTCCCTTTAAAGCAGCTTATTTTTCACCAATCGCTCTTCGGCAAAATTAAAGGGAGCGTGCCAGCTGGAAAACTCTTGAAATGCCAAAAACAGCGGATTTCAAATTTTCCCACTAAAAAAATAAAAAACTCGATTTTCAGATCTGTTCGAGAAGAAGGGGAGTGGAATGCTGGATCTGCTGGATGAAGAGATGAGGCTCCCCAAGCCACTCTCCGCCCATTTCACCCAAAACGTACACCAAGCTAATCAGAAGCATTTTCGGCTGGATGTAAGGAGTTTTGTCTCTCGCTCTCTCTCTCTCTCTCTCTCTCTCTCTCTCTCTCTCTCTCTCTCTCTCTCTCTCTCTCTCTCTCTCTCTCTCTTCTCTCTCTCTCTCTCTCTCTCTCTCTCTCCTCTCTCCCCTCTCCCCTCTCCCCCCTCTATCTCTCTCCCTCTCTCTCCTCTCTCTCTCTCTCTCTCTCTCTCTCTCTCTCTCTCTCTCTCCTTTTGGCCGAATATTACACGAATTTTTGGGTTGCAGACGCCCCGAAAATCCCTGCTAAAGGAGCATCGCGGAATGCGAGACGAAGACGGCCTTCTCGTCCGCCATTTTGCCGGTACCGTATGCTATCAAACGGCCGGTTTCCTCGAAAAGAATAACGACGCCTTGCACGCGTCGTTGGAAGCTGTAATGGAGATGAGCGAGTATGGCTAGACTCTGTGACAGACAGCTTAGCTTTTTAGAATGCCGGTGATGAAGCTGCTCTTCGCGCCGCCTGCGACATCTGAGGCAACAGTGCCAAGTCGTACCCGCCTGATCGTTCCCTCCGTTGGCTCCAAATTCCGCTCGCAACTCGCGCAGCTCATCGAGAAATTGGCATTAACGGTCAGTGAGACTACTATATTATTCAGGTTTATTTTACCACCCCCCTTCAACTTTATTTTATTTCATACAACTTTATTTTATTTCATACCACACAACTTCATTTTATTTCTCCAGGTTTTATTTTATTTGATTTTATTCTTCAAAACTTTCTCAAAACTTGAGTTCTCAAACTTTATTCTTCAAAACTTTATTCTTCAAAACTTTATTTCTCAAAACTTTATTCCTCAAAACTTTATTTTATTTCAGAAAGATTGTATATTCGATAATGTTGTGCATACTCATCGTGGTGTGTTTCAACGGTTTGATTTTAAATATTTATTGACATACAAAGAAAATAGAATCATGGAAATTTTACAACGAAATCAGGGAAAGGAGGGCATGTTCAAGGATGCGGTCACGAACTGCATGGTTTAATATGAGATTTAAGACTGTTGCTATCAGCGTCGTAATAAAAAGATATTTCAAGGATCTTCTTGGCTCCATCTGTATTATGAGCACCGTTTTTCGGCTCCTCGACTCGGAGGTCGGCATTCCCGTCGATGAGGGACTCCTGTTTCCAGGAACTGCGGCAATTCCGCTTAATATGACGTACAAGATTGGAGTTTGAAGAAAATACCTTGTCACACTGGAAACAACGGAAAGCAGGGCGCTGTGCTGGCAATGAGCTCATCAGATTTACAAAACTGAACAGAATGGGACTGAATCCTGGACCTACTCCTCCTTATATACACGCTCCCCGGCATAGGCCAAGGGAAGAGAGCAATTAAAACGGGATTTCATAAAGAAAATCACAAATAAATCATCAATGGTGTGCATAAACCTCAAAACATCATAGAAAGGCATACCAACGCACATTTTTGTCAGGAAAATGATGCAGAATGCCCCGCAAGTACGCGTTCGGAAGGCCTGGCATTGTTTTCGGCTTAAAATCACATTTTTATAATGATCGGCCAGCCATTTTTTAATTTCGCCTCGCGGCTCGTCTCCAAGTGGGTCGAAATAGAATACAGTATCCCCTCGGGCGAAAAAAGCAACCCAATGCTTTCCGATGTGGGATATCTTGTCGGTGTTGACGCAAAATGCCGCCTTCAAGGGGCGCGTCGGTAGTGTGTCTGCAGCGTATGTGCCTTGGTAGAATAGTCGCGTCACGGGGTCCGTCATCAGAATTGCGTCGATTTGAAAGTTGTTCATGTTACAGTGTAAGCGTTTGAGCTTGGCGGGCGTGGTCCAGCGTCAATTTATCCATTAGCTCGGCGTGTACGACAACCATCAGTCCGCCTTTGGGCACCGGCTGGCTCAGCTCGAGATCCAAAGTGCATTGTCCGGCAACGGCCATGTCGAAGCTGTCAACACCGCCATCAGCATCCGGCAGAAGTTCGAATACCTGGACGCAACGGGCATCTGAAAACATTATATGTCCAATACCATTTGTTAGATTGCTGCCGGTCATACCGCAACCTTCTAGCATTTGCGTATAGGCTTCAGTACAACCCAAACCGCCCTTATCCCAAACCAAGTTCCAAGGCTTGTGAGGCACAGCCTGACCCGCAAAACGAATGCTCAGGTTCTTGATATGGTTATGATGGAAGCGCCAAGGATCAGTCTGGTACGAACCTACAAAACCTTCATTCTTTACAAGTCCTACAAAAATACGTCGAGGGATCTGATTAGAGTTAAAGAGTTGCATCTCAGGAAGTTTCAAAACGCCCTCGGGCATGTAAAAGCTTTTGGTCTGATAGCTACGCATGGGATAGCTAGCCTTCTTACCGCCACTCAATTGTCGCTCAATGGCGGCTACTGCCGAAGGGTACAGTTGATACTCGGCCAAAACAAGTCGAATGTCATCAATTACGAAACGCCATGTTTCTTTAGTGGAATCATACCCGCGGATCAAGAACTTATCGCTTTGTCGGTGCAGGGTGATCTGGATATCGGTGTTGTTCAACATTAGCTTATTTGAGCTACAAATGTTCAAATCCAAGGGACTGTTCACCTGCACGGACCTCCCCTTCATGAAAAGAACACTCATATTCTCAAAGCCATCGTTCGACTTGTGTTCGGCACCGTTATCGCCACCATCGTAGAGTTGGGGGTGGCCATAATTAAATTGCTTGATGTTCCTGTCCGTCATGAATTCCGCGTTAATGAAGGCGCGATATGGATACAAATCTCCAGAATTTTCAATTTGCGTACCGCCAATGCTAACAGTGGCTTGTTTCCAGAAGGCACGGGCCGCAAACTGTATAGGGGCGCAGCGTTCCTTAAAAGCTATTTTCCCGTCACCATCGACTTCTGAATGTGTATAGCCATTCCCCTTTTCGTCGACTAAACGCAAAGTCATTGTGACATAGGAACGTGCTAGACTAATGAAATGGGGTTCTTTCATGATACGGAAAGTATAGGGACCAGTCTGATTTAGACTACTATTTTCTGGGGCAATACTTCTAAAGCGCATAGACTGGATACCTACAACGTGTTGAATCGGATCGAAAAGGGCGAGTTGGTTGGAAAAAGAAAGCTCAGGGTTGCTTTCCAATGCCTTTACTGCGGACATTTTTAGGAGGGATAACTGTAAAAATGGTTGCCGTTCGCTTTCTGCCTCTTTTTATAGCCGACCGTCTAGGGGGCAGGGTCTTCTTCACCAAAGTTTCGATGGGGGGCCCTAGAGGCAGACTCGTGGGTGGTGGGGTAGGGACACTATGTTTCACGGGGAGCAGAAATTTATTATGGCGGAAAGGCGCCCCAGCACCTTTTTGCGTTTTAGTGGCTACATTTTGCTTGGATTCACTAAAATCCCAAACAATTTCATTAGGGTCAACGAGATAATAATTGGAAAGAGACATTTTGGGGGGAAAGTGGAATGAAGGTGTTGCTTAATATAGTCTTTTGAAATGGAGAAGTGCAACCGACTTCCCGATATTCATGGGCACCTCGTGACCGTTGTCGTCGGTTATATGCAACTTAATCGAATTGAATCGTCCCTGCTTCACGCGATGGTACACTGGTGGGTTAAAAGTTTTTGTGGAAATGTCTCCCGGTAGCGTATCGTTTGGAATAGTACGTAGCAACTCCAAAAACTCACCCCCTACCAAATGAGGGTCCACCAAATTGCAAAAAAACGCGCAAGTTTCTAGTGTTGAAATTAAGGTCGGGCAGATATTTTGCGGTTTGAATTCCGGTCAAGGTAGCACTTTCGAAACCCAACATACGCCAGATTAAGGCAGGCAGGATAATTTTGGAAATCCTGGTGGGGTCAATGTTGACCGTAAAGCGCATCTTGTTTTCATCATATTCGAAGCAAACGCCACGAGATTCATGAGCCGCGTTTTTCAACTCGTACGAAAAGCTATCGCTAAAGTTCTGCAGCGTAACCATGGGTATTTCGTCAACTAAAGGCTCGACCTCCTCCACCACCTTGTCATCGGCGGTGAAAAAGACGCTGAGCACATCACTTCTCGCCACTTCTCTAAACTTTGGCTGGAAAGCCTCGGGCGTCTGAGGGAGTGGGAAAGAAGTGAAAGTCCTCTTCTCATTTGAGGCGTCAAAGTTTGCATCTCCTCCTGCGCCAACCGGAGACAACGCCAGTGGACTATCCGTTTTCGCTAAGGGACTTAGGGGCTCTTCTGCTGTCACGGGACTGCCCAAAGGGCTGGCTGATGTGGGCTCCCCCGCGCCTAGTTCTACTTCCTGCTTCGCTGGCTCACCCGGTGAAGCCTCCTTGGCAGGTGGTGATGGTGGTGGTGTCACGTCATTTACTGCCGTCACGGTACTACTCCCCGGTGGCGTGGGCGCGTCTGCTCCCGACACGATTTCCGGTGGCTTGTCCGCTGGTGCAGGTGGCGCCTGGCTAATCTCCCCGGTACTAACCCCCGGTGAAGTCCGCGCGGCTTCTCCCGACACCGTTGGCTTGTCCTCTGGTGCAGGTGACGCCAGGCTCCCCTCCCCGGTACTAACCCCCGATGGTGTGAGCGCGGTTTCTCCTGACGCAATTTTCGTTGGCGTGTCCTCAGGTGCAGGCGGCGCCTGACTATTACCTCCCTCCCTATCCATGGCTTCCGTTGATGTCTTCCCTTCATCAATTGGTTTCTCGGTTGGTTCATTGTGTGGAACTGTGCTACCACCTAGGGGTAACGAGGTGAAAGGTTTTTTCTCCTTCGAAGCGTCAAAGTTGGGGGGCAAGTCACCGGGTGTTGACCTACGTTTTCTAGTCTTGCCAAATATCGAGTTGAGTGCATTGGCAAGTCGGGTTGGCTTGAGATAGTTTCCAGCAGGCAAGTAGAAATTACTTGCCTGACCTTGGCTATCAAAAATTTTCAAGGGTTGATT